GGGTGGGGAGAGAGGTTCTTGGAGCGTGTTCGGTGGGGGCTAGCGCTGCCCGCCCAGAGCTGATGGCTGGCTGGATCATGGTGGTCTCTCAGGGTACAGGGTAAATGACAGCTCTGCAGCTTCACAGTGTCTGCACCGGCTGCAGACACACAGACGGAGAACTCTCTCTTTTTTCTGGTGCCAGTCTTAGGGCTTGAACTCAGGGCCTTGTTGCTTTTGTGCTTAAGGCTGGTGCTCTACAACTTGAGCCACAACTCCATATTTGACTTAAAATTTTTTTTTGGTGGTGGCTAACTGGAGAGAAAAGTCTCCGGCACTTGCCTTGCCTGGAAGCCACGATGGGGGGGGGGAGGGAGATGTTTATCTCAAGCAGGGGCTTCACCTGGGGCCAGGGAACACCGTGAGGTATTCCTTACCCCTGGTGGTTGTGCACGTGGAGCAAGGGGCCCAGCGCAGAATAGCCCCGCAACAGCGCCACCTGGTGCCAAGTGCCGAGAGGAGCCAGGCGGGGCGTTCCCCGCGGCCCTGCTCCCCCCGCGGCCCTGCTCCCCCCCCCCCCCGCGGCCCTGCTCCCCGGTGTAGGTGGCCAGCAGCTCCAGCCCGAAGCCACCGACCCCTCCGGGCCATCGCCCTCTTCTTCCGGCGCTGGGGGTGGGAGGAGGGCAGGGCAGAGCGGTGGCTGTTTTAGAGACTCAGTTTCCTTTACCTCTGGCGTCTGAAATCAGGAAACCAGACGCCTGTGTCCTCCGGAATGCGTACAGCTCATGAGGCCGCCAACACCCCGTGTGGGTGAGAACAGGGGCAGTCCTCGAACCTCTGCAAGCAGGAGACGCACACCTTGCTCACAGAACTTGGTTTTGTAAAAGCTATTTGGTTTATTTACTAAAGTTAAATATTACACACACACATGCACGCTTACACACACACACATACACACACACTTGTATTTAAATGCACAAACTCCATAAAGGAGGGGCTTGGCAGCCACCTAATTCATAATGGCCTTCCTCTGAAAATGGCTGTCAGAGGGGTCACCCCGTGTCTATTCACACAAGAGAATACTATACAGCCATGAAAAGGGACAAAGACCAGTGTGACGGGTTATGATGTTGGTGGTTCACGTGCTGAATCCAATGATGAAACGGAAGAGAAACTCAGGTTTGGGGGCCACTCACTGATGGGGTGCAGCCCCTGGGATGGGGACAGGGCTCCCGAGAGCCCCGCAGGCCGCTGCTACCTGAGGCTGCTGAATTTGGCAGACGGTAGATGAGCTACAGGAAGCGCGACTGGAGAATCACCCCAGCTGCAAATTACCTGTTGGTACCAGTACTTGAGCAAGAGGATCAAATCCTTCAGTTTTCTGGGGAACTTGTTAAAAAATGTCTGCTGGAGTCTGGTGAAGCAGCTGGAGAACTCGGAAGCCGGGCCTGGCTTCCATGTCCTCCATGGATCTCTTGAGATCTCGGTAGGTCCAGGAGCTGGGCTGCTCTTTCACATCTAATACAAAACAGAAACAGGACCTTGGGTGTCTCTGCCAGCCGGCCAGCCTCAGAGCGCAGCTGAGGGCCTGTGGGGGGTTGTTAGGCACCGGTAGCCGGGGAGGTGATGGGCAGGCTGGCTGTGGCCGCACAGCTGACCCTGGCCGTGGAAAAGAGGACGCAGTGCTGACCCATGGTAAGTGAACCCAGTCTAGGAACGCAAAGGGCAAGGACAAATTCAGGAGGTGAGAAAAGGAATGCTTCACTTAGTTTCTGCTTTTTGTTTTTGTTTTGAGCCAGAGTCTCCATATACAGCCGTAGGCTGGTCTTGAATGCTCAATCCTCCAGTCTGGGCCTCCTGAGCCCTGGGATTACAGGTGTGTGCTACTGTACCACACCTGGCATGGTGTGGGTACAATTGCCATATGTCTGCAGAAGAGGAAGCTTCTAGATCACAAATAATAAATTCCAACATGGAGCCCACACAGTGACCTTGAAGGGCAGAGCCTGGAGGAAGCAGTTGACACCTTTTCTTCCCCACCCAACAAATACGGCTGATTCCGCAGGTCCAGTCCTGGGCACTTGGGATGTTGGGAAGTTACCATGAAGAACCTTCTCCCCTCCCCTGTAATGATAATAACCCAGCTATTGCCTATTGAGTGCTTACTGTATACCAGGTGCAGTTAGGGACTTCCTGAGCCACCAAACAGATGTGTTTCATAAAATCCTTATGCTGCTGGCAGGGGGCTTGAGCTACAAGATAGGGGAAGAGACTCCAGAAGTCAGGGAAACTGGTTCCTTTCCTGCTTTGGGCCCAAGGCTGGCTGAAGAAAGCCGGCCTGATGGGTGGGAAAAATAAGTGGGATTGGATAGAAGTTCTTTCTCTCCGGCTTTCTGTGTATAAATTCTAATCTGGAATGTGCAGCGCTACCTCCCTCTGGTTGGGACATCTTAGACCTGCACATCTCCAGGTGCCATCTTTGCAAACCGGATCTGACCAGCAGAGGGCGCCCTGGCCACTCTCCTGCCCTTGTCTGAGCCGTAGCCTGGAATCCATTTCTAGTCTGGTCTCACCGCTGGTGAACATGGAAACAGAGAAGACCCCGGGGCTGCCCACCTCCCAGACTGGTTCGTGTTCCTCTGAGCCAGGTGGATGCTGTCCCCACCCCTGGTCAGGTCATGGACATTGCTCTTCTGGTGAACCGGAAAACCCTCGAATCAGGGACTGTGGCTGTCACCCTGGTGGGAGGCTGGGAACGAACACCCGGGCTTTGACTCTGGTTCTGTTGGTAGCTGGCCTTGGGGGCCCTGGAGGCAGGTGTCTCCGCCTGTCCCCGACGTGTTTAAGGAAGAGATGAGCACCAATTTTGGCATTTGTGCAGCATGGGTTATATGTATGCCTGAGCTTGAGGCTCAGTTGTAACTATGTTGAGTCTTGTCTACCCACCATCCGTCAATCCTCCATCCATCCCTCACCCATCCACCATCACCACCCATCCACCATCACCACCCATCGACCATCACCACCCACCCACCATCATCACCCATTTATATAGGAATATCTATCTATCTATCTATCTATCTATCTATCTATCTATCTATCTATCATCTATCTATCATATGGTTTGCCAGGACATGGCTGTTTTAGGGTTTGTGGAAGTCTCACATTCTAGGAAATGTGGGCAAAACTGGGCTGATTGCCCACCTTTAGATAAAGTTAAAGGTGTCAAAAGGACTCTTAGAAGTCAGGAGAGGCACGGCCTGGCATTGGGGGGCTGCAGGGAAGTGGGGGTGGGTGGCAGCTCTGGTTTGGATGTGGCTTGTCCTCTAAGGGTCAGAGGTTGGGGCTGGGCCCTTAGAATGGTGGTGGTGCTGCTGGACAGGGCCTGGGGGAGGGCCTTTCCTCGTTACCAAGCGGGCTGCTCTGGAGTTAGTCTCAGCCGTGAAAAGCAGGGCTTGGGGACGAGGGCTCAGGGCCTTCCCCATCCTAGGTCCTGGCAGCCCGGGCACCCCTCCTGCCCAGGCCCAGGCTCCGGCCCGCGGCCATCTGGGCCTGGGGTCTGGATCAAAGCGTCCTGCGGCGTCCACACCGCCCGCGGGGAGTGCGGGCCACGGAGCTCAAGTCGGGGATGGCACCCCGGCCGGGGTTCGAGGCCCAGGACTGGCCAAAAACGAAATTAATGAAATTAGAAAAGCGCGGCGCGCCCGGGCCCGCGGAGGGCGCGGTGGGCTGCATGTGGCCGCCCGTTCCGCAGGCCGCGGACCCCAGGCTGAGCCCGAGCTGCCCCCGAGCCCCGCCGCTGGCGCGGATGGACCCCGGCGCATGTCCCCCACTGCCCAAGTACAGGGGCACCGAGCTGAGGTGAGCATCCCCCCTACCCCGGGTCCCCGCTCCAGCCGGCCTCAGCTCTGCCCTGCACCGGGGACCTCCACCGCCTCCAGCAGGGTGTCAGGGATCCTGGCCAGGCCCTGGCGGACCAGCTGCAGGCCGTGCTCCTGGATGAACCCCTCCAGCTCCCCCCGGGGCCAGCTCTCACACCTGGGACCCCCAGCTCTCCATGGCTCCTGCGGGCAGCCACGGTAGCGCAGCAGAGCTGGGACTACACGCGGTCACTCAGGGCCCGGCCCTGCCCTCCGTGGTATGCCCAGCAGGGCCAGCCCGGGAAACTGAAACCGGCGCTGCAGCCTCCAGGGGCAGCCCTCCTGACCTCCCGTGCCTCTGTTTCCCCGTGTGTGAATGAGGAGCGGTTTAGAGGAACAGGGCCGTCCCTCCCATTCCCAAGGCCCAAGCAGCTCAGCCCCAGGGAGGGTGGCGAAGAGAGAGACTGGAGAGGGATGGGGCTTGGCCACTCAGAGGGCAGAGGTCACAGCCAGCGCTCCCTCCTCCCTATGATGAGCCCAGGCCCGACAGGACTTGGGGTGAACTCTCCCCTCACGCTGCCCCCCGACTCCACAGGGCGCTAAACAGGTCAGAAGGAAACAGACAGGAAACTTCTGTACCCCAAGTTGAGAAATGAAAGTCACAGAAGACTGGAGGCTGGCCAGCTCTGCTTAGACGACCTAGAAGTCAGTGATTATAAAGCAGCAATCCTCTAGGAGTGGCCGGCGGGGGCGTAGAAGGGCCTGCCAGGTGGGGATGGTTAATCTGTTTATTTGTCAATGCAGGGTCAAGTTCCAGGTCTTGATCTCAAAGTTCAGTATTTTAAAAGAAAAAGAACAATCCTCAGACTCCACAACCCTGAGATACAGGGACCCCCATTTCTAATGAATAGTCAAAGTGTGTCAGCCGGGCGCTGGTGGCTCACACCTGGAATCCCAACTACTCAGGAGCTTGAGATCTGAGGCTCCAGGTTCAAAGCCAGCTAGGGCAGGAAAGTCTTGATGAATCATACACATGTGTGTGTGTGCACGCGTGCACGCACACGCACACACACACACACACACAGAGTCAAGAAACAATATGATATCTGCTGCTGTTTTTATTTGCTGTTACTGGTCATTGGATGACACCGGAAGCTGGTGGCCACGGGGCAGGGCCCTGGGCAGCTGGCTGAAATCACAGGAGGGTGCAGGCCCAGGCATCATCCTTCCCCTCCTGTGCGCGTACGCGACAGGCCACGGCACTCTCCCTCTGTAATGAGAAACCGAGTCAGCGCAGGAAGCCCCTCTCCCCAGCTGGGCGCCCCAGGGCCCTGAGGGGGTGGATGTGAGCCCCAGCTTTAGGAAGGGGGCAGCCACCCTCAGCCCCTCCGTGGTGATCTGTCAGGGTCTTCCCCAAAGTCTCCCCCACACACCTGTTTGCTTCCCCACAGGCCACACGGGGGTGCCTCACCCTGCACCCCTGCACGCTCTTGGGCCTTTCCTGAGCTGAGCGACCTGGCCCAGGTCATCCCCATTTGTCACACGGTAAGTGGGGACAGGACAGGACGCCACAGCCCTGGAGTGTGCTGGCCTTGAGCCTCTGCCCCTCCACTCCTTAGCCAAGGGTCTCGGAAAGATGCTTCTCCTCTCTGGCTCTGTCTTCCTGACAGCAAACTCAGGGCTGGTCCTGAGAGGGTATTTTTGTGTGTGCACTAGCACTGGGATTTGAACTCAGGACCCTTGCAATCTTGATTGACTTTTCTGCTCAAGGCTGGTGCTTTAGCATTTGAGCCATATCTCCATTCCTGGCTTTTTAGATTTTTGCTGGTTCATTGGAGATAATTGGCATGTGGACTTTCCTGCCCCAGTTGGCTTTGAACCTTAATGATCAGATCTCAGCCTCCTGAGTAGCTGGGATTACAGGCGTGAGCCACCACACCCAGCGGGGACAATACAGAGTGGCCCTAATATTGCCACCCTTAGTAGATGAGAGATGGACAGAGAGGGGAGGTGCTAGGAACCCTCAGACTGGGGCCCAAAGGCAGCGTGAAGTCAGGGTGACCCTTCCCAGCGGTCATTCCCTTGGCATCTGAGGTCGTGTGCAGGGGGTCAGGGCACGGACAGCAGGGAGGACTTGGGGGTGGGTCTCACCGGTACATCCCAGGAGCCCACCCAGGTCCCATCGAATGTCTTCACGCACGGGAGGTCCAGCCAGCATCTCGCCTTTCCTGCCAGCCGATGCCAGCCCTCTGCTCCTCCACCCACGTTTCCCGTGGGGTCAGCTGGATCCAGAATCACAGGCCTGCAGAGCGAGGAGGAGAGGGCCAGCCAGGCACTGGGTGCTGCCCAGGGTGTTGGGTGTTCCGGGGGCATGGCCAGGGGTGTGGCCAGATGGGGGCGTGGCCAGAGGCAGGGCTAGGCTGGGGCGTGGCCAGGGTGAGGCTAGGTGGGTGTGGCTGGAGGCGTGGCCAGAGCGAGGCTAGGTGGGGGCGTGGCTGGGCGTGGTATGATGGAGCTGGGGCGGGGCTCCCTGGGGTGCGTCCCCAGGCCTGGCACCTTGCCCACGGCCTGGCAGGTCTGGGTACTAAAGGCCTCCATCTCCCTTTATTAGAGACGACCCTTGACCCTCGGTGACCATGCGGAGGCCGGTGCCTGGGACTTGAACTCAGGGCCTCCAGCTTTTGCTTAGGTTTTTCAATCAAGACTGGTGCTCTGCCACTTGAGCCACCTGTCTGCTTCCGGCTTTTTGTTGTTTAATTAGAGATCAGAGTGGCTCAGCTTTGTCTGTCCAGGCTGGCTTCTAACTGTGATCCTCAGATCTCAGCCTCCTGAGTAGCGAGGATGTCAGGCGTGAGCCACCAGCACAGGTGCTCATGTTGCCTTGTATTTGCCTTTGTTAGTCTTACCAGAAACTTCGATTGCCTAGGGACCATTTATTATGATTAATGATTCTTATTGTTGTTATTAATGATGGCTGTAGACACTGGGTTATTCTGCTGCAGTTCTAGCTGTCTTACTTGTTTCCTGTGGGGTTTGGACCGTCTTTAGGAGCTGGAGACAAGGGGTGGCTCCCACCCAGTGTGTGCAGGAGGGCACACCTGCAGCTCCGTTTGCACAAGGCCCCGGCAGCTCCCAGGGGCTTCCCTGGGGGGGGGTGCAAGGGGTGGGGGGCTCGGTCTGGGGGTTGGGAGGGTGCCAGCTACCTCTGTTTGCTGAGCTGCCCAGCCACGTAGTGAGAAATGAAGGGATCTTGCAAATCGTAGTACATGTCCCAGCAGATGCAGAGACGCTCATGGTCCAGGACCAGTTCTAAGACGGTCTGGAACCCCTGGGCCGTGTTGAATTTGGTGCTGCCACTACCACATTCCCACGCGTGAACGGTCAGCAGCTCCAGGGCGTACTGTGGCGGCAGCGGCTTCCCCAGCTCCTCCTTACACTGCGGAGACGAAGAGCAGCCAGGAAAAAACACAGGGCTGTTTAGCTTTTGTTAAGTCCATTTCTTTCATAAGCGGGATGCAGCCTACTGTCACACACACACACACACACACACACACACACACACACACGGAATGTTCTGCTCCAGGGAAGGGGAGCTTGAGACCAAAGGGAATTAGAAGCCATTTGGCCAGTTAGACATTCACGAACAATGTACAAATGAGACTGGTCACTAACAACCCAACATTAGACATGGCCAAAGAGAAACTTAGTCAACTGAAAGGGATATCTGAGGAATGATTGGAAGAAGGCGTGGGAAGATTCTCTCCATCCCCTCTTTATTTTCCCCTCATCTTTCCCCGACTTTCCCTCTCCCCCTTCCTTCCTCCTCTTTCTCTTCTCTTCTATATACTTGTTTTTTCTTTTCTGTGTCATTCGTGGGGCTTGAACTTGGGGCCTGGACACCCTCTCTTAGCTTTTTTACCCCAAGGCTGGCGCTCTACCGCTTGAGCCACAGCTCCACTTCTGGCTTTTTTGGCGATCGATTGGAGATGAGCATCTCACAGACTCCTCACTGTGACCCTCAGGTCTCCCCTCCTGAGTAGCTAGGATTACAGCTGTGGGCCACCGGCGCCTCTCCTTCTGTGTACTTGTGCTTGCCTTTCCTTTTCCCTCCTCCTCTTTCCTCCCTCCTCCTCCTCTCCCTCCTTCTCTGCCTCCTGGTACAGGCAGGCTCGTGTGGGGGGGGGGTCGAAGGGGGGGACTTACCAGCTGGTACCAGTACTTGACGAGGCGGATGAGGCTCTTCACCTTGGTTGGCCGCTGCTTCAGGAAGTTCCTCTGCAGCTCGGTGAAGCAGGTGGAGAACTCGCCCTCTCTATGCCGGGCGGTGCACTCCTTGATGAGTTTGACGTAGATTTGGGGGTGGGGTTTGTAGTCATTGGTGACATGACCTGTTGGGGTGAGATTCCTGACTTTAAGAGGGTCGGTCCCTGGGAGAATGGGCAGACTCTCAGACCAGGGGGCCCGGTGGGAAGAAAATATTTTTCATTATCTGATCATTATCTGTCATCTTGTGGCGGGTCATGTTTTGGGCAGCGACAGTGGCTCTGGAAGACAACAGAGTGGGAAGATGCCCGATCGCCATGACTCACGTGACTGTGGCCGCATAGACTGTAGCAACACGAGCTCATCAGAATGACAGAGCACTGCTGGCTTAGGTATTTTCTGGACTATATATGTAAACATTTTTCAATAGTAGAAGTTAAACCAGAGCTCAGTGCAGCTAGGCAAACTCCACTGCTCGGGCCAGGGCCCAGCCCTTCTTTTCTTGTCTGAAGACAAAGTCTTGCTAATTTTGCCTAGGCTAGTCTTGAACTTGTGATCTTCCTGTCTCTGTCTTCCCAGTAGCAGGTATTATTACATGGTATGCTGGGTTTTGCTTCACTTGTGTGTGTGTGTGTGTGTGTGTGTGTGAGAGAGAGAGAGAGAGAGAGACAGAGACAGAGACAGAGAGAGACAGAGAGAGGCTGGGAGGGGAGAGAGGGAGTCAAGGGGCTTGAACTCTCTTAGCTTTTTCATTCAAAAGCTGGCACTCTACCGCTTGAGCCACAGTTCCACTTCTAGCTTTTGGGTGGCTAATTGGAGATAAGACTCTCATAGACTCTCCTGCACTGGCTGACTTTGAACCTCCATCCGTAGATCTCAGACTCCTGAGTAGCTAAGATTGTAGGCCTGAGCTACCAGCACCTGGCTCCTTATTTTTGGTGACCATGAAACTCCTGTACCCATAAGACCACCCAGGGTAAAATATCTTTTGGGAAGGTGTGTTTTTACAAAATCAAAAACAAAGATAAAGCTCAGCTGACTGTGCCATGATTTAAAAAACACGGGCATTGCGGGACTGGCTGACTGGAGCTTTTCCACAACAACTGGGCTGTGTGATGTCCACTTGGAATTTAAGGTTTTTTTTTTAAATTTTCTTTTGGTTTTATTTGATCGCACTTGATCGAAACTACGTCGAACAAATCCATGAGAGTCAACACCCACTGGCCGGGCGGGCGGGGTTTAACAGTAGCAGTTTTCTCTGTGACCAGAAGGTGGCGCTGTTTCCCTCAAAATTAACTATCAAACTAAAGTCCTTGCTTGTGGGTCCGCTTGGTTCTGGGGTGCCTTCAGGTACAATTGGGGAACTAAGGTATTTCGTGATGTACTGTTAGCCAGGTGCGCTGGTTCACACCTGTCATTCTAGCTACTCAGGAGGCTGAGATCTGAGGATCGCAGTTCAAAGCCAGCCCAGGCAGGAAAGTCCATGAAATTCTTATCTCCAATAAACCATCAGAAAACTGGAAGTGGCGCTGTGGCTCAAGTGGTAGAGAGCTAGTCTTGAGCAAAAGAAGCTCAGGGACAGGGCCCAGGCCTTGAGTTCAAGCCCCAGGACTGGCGAAAAGAAAGAAAGAAAGAAAGAAAAAAGAAATGTCTCTGGCTCTAGACTGTACCAATTTGCCACTGACTGCCCCTCCCGAGTCTGCGGAGGGAGGTCAGCCTGTGGGGTTGGGCTGCTTACCCAGGGTGTCGAAGGCCGGCAGGACGTCAAACTCTATCTGCTCCTGAAGCCTAGAGGAGCTCAGCTTGAAGCTGAGTGCTCGGGGGTTGGCCCAGGAGTGATTGCGGAACGCAAACTCCACACCCAGCCATTTCTCCCTTTGACATGCATCCAGCTGTGTCCTGATCTCAGTGATGAATTCTCCCCGGCGTGTCAACTGATCCTCAAAACTGGTGAGACTGGTGAGGAAGACGACCAGGTCGGCGTCAGAGCGGCCCCTGAGGGAGGTGCCTTTGCCCGAGGACCCGCCCTGCAGGAAGAAGACACCGCTGCGAGGTGAGATGCTGCCGCTTCGTGGGAGGGGCCTCCCTAAGTAAAGCGCTCCGAGAGATCACTAACATTCTCACACACTAGCTGCCACGAAACGTTTCCTCCATGGTGCTGGACACAGGGGCTCCAGCCTGCGAGTGTGTCTGAGAGACACATCCATGCTTCATGCATGCTGTGCAAACGCTCTACCGCGAAGCTACCTTCCCAGCCCTTCCTGGGAATTCTTGCCCCCCCCCCCCCCCCCCGCCCCAGTCAGGTGGAAGTGAGCTTACCTTCACCACCTTGGACACCCGCACGGGGGAGGTGGTATTCTGGAAACATCTTTCCTTCAGGAAATCGCAGATAATGTTGACAGCTGCTTTGATCTCCTTTCGGAATGCTTCGTTTGGCAGGAGATAGTTCTCGATGAATCTGTCTAGGTCCCTGGCGGAGGTGTTTCGGAGGTCCATTTCAATTCTCGGCTGGGCTGTGAGAGCCGCTGGCAGCGCTGTTCTGGGCACCTGTTTGCTGCTTCTCTTCTCCTGGCCGCTGGGGCTGGGCGGGGTCGGGCTCTGGGTTTCGTTTCCTGGGAAGGGTGGAGCAAAGGAGCCAGCTTCCTGATTGTTATACTGCCTCTGGCCTGGCTCAGTCACCCCAAATTCCCTCCTGCCTCAAGCCACCAGCCCCACCTTTGTGTGGACTGTCACCCCAAGATGGAATGGTGCTTTTCAAGAGAAATCACACTTTTCCTCATATTGTACATTGAGTAGAATGACTGCATTTCGGTGGGCCAGGGGCTGCGGAGCAAGTGTACACTTTCAGGACCTGACTGCTGGGATTTTAACCTCTGGGTACAAGTACTTAATGAAAATAAACTTTTGTAAGCTCTTGTGAATTTTTTAAATTAGAAATTGGATCACATGCCGGGCACCGGTGGCTCACGCCTGTCATCCTAGCTACTCAGGAGGCCGAGATCTGAGGATCACCGTTCAAAGCCAGCCTGGTCAGGAAACTCCATGAGACTCTTATCTCCAATAAACCACTAGTAAGCCGGAAGTGGTGCTGTGGTTCACGCGGTAGAGCGCTCGCCTTGAGCTGAAGAGCTGAGGGACAGCGCCCAGGCCCAAAGTTCAAGCCCCATGACCGACAAAAAAAAACAAAAAAAGAATCGCTGAGAGAGATTACAAGGCCCAGAGTTCAAGTCCCAGAACTGGCACACACTTACGTAACTGTGAGGAAAACGGAGAAGAAAGGACACACCGGACTCAACCTGGACAGGCAAGAGCTGTCTACTGAGACACCGCGAGGGGCCAGGGTTAGGCCTGTATCAGGCCAAACAAGGAAGCAGGTCTTTTCAGGAAGTGGGGGCCTCGTGGTTAAACCTGGCTGGGGGTGTGGTGTGAGAGGGTGAGAATGGTCCTTCAGTAACTGTAACTCAACAAGAAACATTAAAAAGGAGAGAAATGCAGGCAAACGTCATCCATCGCTATAGAGCCAGGTAAGGTGGTACATGCTTGTAATCCCAGCCCTCTGGAGGCTGGAGGCGGGAGGATGGCAAGTGCAAGGCTGGAGGCAGACCCTGTCTCACATAACATAAATCACCGCAGAAGAGCCAGACCTGGAACCTCTGCAAGACCCAGGAAACAACTGGAGAAAATCTGGTTCTTTCCAGGTTGTGGCCTCATGTCCTTCAAGAAAGGGAAACAGGAAACTATACGGGCGGCTGGTCCTTGTTTGCTTGGGTCAGGGGCCCGTCGGGTCCCCAGCATTTCCTCTGAACCCCACCCCTCCCCACCCCAGGCAGCACCAACCCTGGCAGGGCCTAGCCCATTCTACCTGTAAACACTCCCTCTCACCACATCGGGCCGGGCCCAGCAGGCCTGACCGCCCTGGGGAGGGTGAACCCCCTGAGTTTCAGAGGCCACGTGCCTACTCAGATCCATGGGGCATGCACCAGGCACACGGGGCCCTGCCAGGCCCTTCCCTTCTCCCTGGCCTTGGTGGGCAGAAGACCAGACCCCCAAACGCTGCTCCGGCTTCTAATTCACCCTTGGAATGCGCATGGCCAGCCGGGGTGGGATGCGGCCAGCTGCCGCCCTCCCTGCTGAGCCGGGACCTCACAGGTCTTTCTGCCCTGTCACCCCCTCTCCCACTTTCCGTCCCAGTGTCCCAGAGACGTTTCTTAGAGCACCCGAATGGCACTCAGAAAGCTCTGGGAAGCACTTACTGTTGTTCCGTTTTCAAGAGGAGGAAACCAAGCTTGCAAGAAGCTGCGAAGCTGGGGGGTGGGTGCAGTTCAACTCCCTAATTAACCCGGGTGCCCAGCTGCCTGGAGCAGAGGCCTGTGAGCCGGGAGCTGGCAGGACCCTCCTCATGTCAGCCCGCGGCTCTGGGCACTCCTGACAGCCACAGCAGCTTGCTGCCCAGCCCAGCTCCAACCACTGCTCCAAACAGCTGAGCCCAGATCTACAGCATGACCCCGGCGGACCTCCAGATGACCTTGTGTTTCCACCAAGTCCAACGGGGGAGACTTTCCCCAGTGGCCTCGCCACCACGCTTAGCCTGTGATTGGTCAAACATCCATGCAAATGAAGGACATAATTGGTCAAGACACAGTCCTTCATGTAAGTAAGGGACAGCTATGATGTAGCAAGACCCTTCATTTACAGGAGGGACGGCGCCATGATTGGTGCAAACACAGTCCTTCATTTGCATGATGGACATGATTGGTCAAACACAGTCTTTTATTTGAATAAAGGATAGCTGTGGTCAAACATAGTCCTTCATTTGTATAGTCGGCCATGATTGGTGCAGACACCCTGGCCACACCCCCTTTCTGACTATGTAAGCAGGTTGTTTAGCTCACTTTTGGAGTCTGCTGAGAGACTTCCTGCTGTGCTTCTCTGGTGTCACACCAGATCCAGTGATGTTTTCTCTAGGACTTTACTTACCACTGAGCGTTCAGAGCCACAAGTCCCTGGCTCCCAAAGCTGGGAGCGATGGGCCCCTGGCTGGCAGGGTTTGGCGCTGTGAGCCTCTGGGTGTGCCAGGCCAGCCTGGAGGCCTCGGGCACCCGAGGGCCAGGACCGCCAGCCCTAGAAGGGCACCGTGGCCACGGGCCTGTGTGTCCTGTGCAGGGAGAGCAGGAGGGCCTCTCTTAGCTGGTGGGTGACAGGATTAAAGCAATCAGGAGGCTGGTGTGACTTAGGACAGGGTCTTTCTTGGCACACTACGTTGCCTCTAGCAGAATGTTTTATTTCAATGGTGACAAAGCATAGGATTAGCCAGCACTCATGGAAACTTCCCTCCGCCACTCGAGCCGGCCAGGCCTTCACCCCATGCTAGGAAGGACATCAACTCTCTTCAGAATGGAATCTAGGTTTCTTTAATGGTGTGCAGAGGATCCGGGGCCGCTCATGGGCACTGTAGAAAGAAGCTGTAGGGACCAGTCATGTCTGCCGGCCTCGCAGGGAGAGCGGCACGTGTTTGGACAGGCATCTGCAGCCCGGGCTGGCCGCACCACCTAGTGGTACAGGAAAATGGATCCTCCTGAGGGGAGTTTTCAGTCATTGTAGAGGAAATAGTTCAGACAGACACCTGGCCCCGAGGGTTTAACCACATTTGTGGGGAGAACTTGGCGGTTTGGAAATCCAGTTGATGCTCACACGCCTCCTACAGGTCAGCCTGGTCCTGGTCTGAGGTGGGCGTCTCCCACACTACCCCAGCCCACCTGCCCAGGCCTGAGACGCGCCCACCCCTCCTGCTTCCTCCTCAGGGTGGGCCAGCTCAGGAGCCTCCGTCCTGGCCCAGGCAGAGCTAATGGAAGCCAGACAGGAAAAGAGACAGACCCCGCAGGTTTCCTACTTTATTTTTGGCTACATCATCACTGGTGGCGGGCCTTGGCGCATGCACACAGGAAAGGGAGTAGATTCGCCCTGGGGAGGGGGGTGGTGGACAGAGGACCAGCTGGGCGTGTCCGGAGATCAGGAGTGCCGTGAGCTTGCTGCATGCTGATGCCAGCGCCAGGCCCGGTGACACCGCAGCATGCTTTCTCTGAAGGGGAACCCTGGGCTGAGTGGAGCTGCAGGGACCCAACCCCAAGGTCAGGATCAAGGTCAGGAGGGAAGACAGTGACCACCTGGAGGCAGGCGGAGAGCTTGATACTTAGAAAGAGCCCTCCTGTAACGTGTGCGGGAACTGCGGGTGAGGGGCTTTGGAAGATGGGGGTTTGGGACACGGGTTAGAGAGCCGGTCTGCTGGCCCCCGTGGGGAGAGCACGAGGGGGCGGGGTGACCCTCAAAGGCAGAGGAACCAGACTTTTCTCACGGGGCAGCCACGATTGCCTGAAGCCAGCCTCCCATGAAGAATGGCCGCCTGGATCGGGGATGAGCAAAAGCCCTGGGCAGCGCCTGTCCCTGAAGTTCTCGCGTCTAATGATTCCATGGGACGGTGGGAAAGAGACGGAGGCTGTGGCTCTGTGTGAGCGACGGGAGAGAGTTGAGGAAACAGAGTGGAAGAGCTTTGTGCACTGAACCCAGAGCAGAGGGAGCGGAGAGCTGGGGTCCTCTCTCTGGCCTTCGCCAGGCCTCCCGCACTCTCCTGGAAGGCCGGGCTGGCGCCGCTCCTCTATGGGGCTCCAGGGGTGCTGCCATGGTCCCGGGCTGCGCCCACAGCCTGAGAACAGCCGCCAACAGCGTAAGTGGGTGCCCTGGGGGGTGGAGGCCCCGAGGGACTCAGGGCTCATTACCCTGAGTTTCTCCCAGTTTGCTGGCTGGGGCGGCTGGAGGCCGGGGGTGATCTTCTTGCTTGTTTGCTATGTTGCCCCCTTAGAAATGAGAAAGGAGGAGGCCCGTGGTGTGGCAGGGACTACAGATAAGAGGAGGGAGGGGAGAGGCTGGGCGGGAGGAGCTCACTCCGGGGAGGGGACAGGAGAGGGAGGCAGAGGAGACAGGAGATGATTGAAGCCGGCGTCGGTGGCTCACGCCTGTCATCCCAGCCACTCAGGAGGCTGAGAGCTGGGGATCACAGTTCAAAGCCAGCCTGGGCAGGAAAGTCTGTGAGACTCTTATCTCCAATAAAAACCACTGGAGAACCGGAAGAGCGCTCGCCTTGAGCTGAAGAGCTGAGGGACAGCGCCCAGGCCCAGAGTTCAAGCTCCACGACCAACAAACAAAAACAAAACAAAAAAACAAACAAACAAAAAGAAGATGATGGAACAGATTGAGAATGTCTGGTGCTCTGGGGGCGGTGGGGTGGGTACCTGGAAATGGAGGCAAAACTCCTGGCCACTGGGGGTGTGATTCGGAGGGACGCATGCTCCATCTCCGTCCTCTGTCCCCACTGCCCCCCCCACAGGATACAGGGAACAGACTGTGTGTGTGTGTGTGTGTGTGTGTGTGAGAGAGAGAGAGAGAGAGAGAGAGAGAGAGAGCGTGTCAAGGCCAGGAGGGTCTAAAAACAGTCCCAAATGGTGGAGAACCTGTCATTTACCACCCGGGAAGCGGGGTGCTGTGAACCACCTCTTTGTAAACATCTCCCCCTCCAGATCCCTTCTGCCTCACCCCGAGGGACCAGAGAGGGGCAGCGCTCAGAGCCCGCGTCCCAGCGTCGGGAGCGGAGGTCTTTGGCAACAGTGTCGAAGGTGAGGGGGGCCTCAAAAGCAGGCTGGGGAGGGGGGGTTCAGCCAGGGACAAGGGGGGGCACAGAAAAGAGACCAGAGTGCGGTGGCGGCTGGGCTGGCTGGGTGGGTGGAGGTGGGGCGGGCCGGGGACAGCGGGGGGCGGGACAGGCTAGTCGCTGGACACGTGGTTCTCGTTCTGTAGCTGGTGCCAGCGCTCGATCTTCTTGTCCTTGTTTTTCAGACACTCGTACCAGTGTTTCAAGCGCTCGCCCTTGGCTGAGATCCCCAGCTGGCAGCCTCCTGGGGGAGGCGGGGAGAGAGGAGCAGGTGGTGAGCTCGGAGGGACACAAGGACACTTGTTCTAGTCGGCGGGAAAATGGCCACCCAGCAGCAGAGCTGGGGGGTCCCTGGTCCTCCGGGGGCTGTGGTGACTGCTGCTCGCGGTGCCCACCATGCCCGGCCCCTGCCCTCCCCTCCCCTCCTGCGTCACAGCCTCAGAAGACTTTCTAGAAACCCTCGCCCTGCACCCGCCCGTCCTGAGGTCTCCTGGTGGACTTCCAAGTGCTGTCCCTGTCTGTCACCCCTGCTGGGCCCAGCTGGGTGCGGGGACGGGGGGGGGGATGGGGAGCGGACCCCACCCTTTGCGGCCACTCACCAATGTAGTCGTTGGACTTGCCGATGTCGTAGTCCCAGACCGAGATGTCCAGTGACTTCTTGGCCAGGTCGCTGTGTTTGATGTCATAGAAAAACTCCTGGGTGCAGTGCCGGGGAGGGGGGGTAAAGAGCAGGAGGTCAGTGGCTGGGGTTGGGCACCGGTGGGCATGGGATTCCTTCCCTGCCGAGCCCAGACCCCCACTCCACAGCCACCCAAATCACACCGTTACAGATTCAGGTCACTGCCGGGTCTCTCGGGCCTGCCTGCCCCCCCCCCCCCCCCCCGCAGCTCCTCAAGGACCCTGGAACTCTGCCTCTCCCTCTTGATAGCAGCTTCAGAAACGGGGTACATTGAATACTTCATCTGATTTTTAAATAAAAAAAAACATTGTTCTTATATACGTGATGTACAAAGGAGCAATCTGATCTTTAAGAAAGTAATTGTTGCCGGGCACCGGTGGCTCACGCCTGTAATCCTAGCTACTCAGGAGGCTGAGATCTGAGGATCGTGGTTCAAAACCAGCCCAAGCAGGAAAGACTGTGAGACTCCTATCTCCAATAAACCACTAGGAAACTGGAAGTGGCTTGTGGCCCAGGTGGTAGAGCGCTCGCCTTGAGCTGAAGAGCTGAGGGACAGCGCCCAGGCCCAGAGTTCAAGCCCCACGACTGACAAAAAAGAAAGCATTCCACTGGGGCTGGGAAGATGGCTCAGTGGTAGAGCTCTTGCCCTGCAGGCCTGAGGCCCTGGGTTCGATTCCTCAGCACCACATAAGCAAAAAGAAAAAAGCCAGAAGTGGCACTGTGGCTCAAGTGGTAGAGCGCTAGCCTTGAGCTGAAGAGCTGAGGGACAGCGCCCAGGCCCAGAGTTCAGGCCCCATGACCCACAAGAAAAAAAAAAAGAAGAAGAAGAAGAAAGTAATTGTTGGGCTTAATTATAAAACTCGTGTTCATTGTTAAAACTAATAAAAATAAAGAGGCCAAAAGGGTATCCACCCATAATGCGGCTCCTCGAGGCCAGGATGTACCTGTGTGTGGCCACGCTTTTTGCCAGTCCTGGGGCTTGAACTCAGGGCTTGGGTGCTGTCCTTGAGCGTCTTTTGCTTAAGACTAGCGCTCTACCGCTTCAGCCCCAGCACCACTTCTGACTTTTTCTGTGTATGTGGTACTGGGGAATCAAACCTAGTGCTTCATGCATGCTAGGCGAGCACTCTACCACTGAGCCACATCCCCAGCCCAGCGGTGGATAGTTTATAAAACAAAATACCACTGAATGCACCACATGGTGGCTTCGCTCTTCCCTTTATAACACTGGTAAAAATCAGCCAAGCGTGTAGGCTTCTGCTCCATCACTGGCTGCATGCGGGGCTGGACCCTCACAGCTCAGGGTTCAGGTTGTTTTCAGTTTCCCACTGCCATTAATGCTACCCCGAAACAGCGCCCCAGCAGCTCAATCATACATCCACCTGTCCACAGTGATTTATTTTAGATCATTTCCAAGCTTGGGGCTTCTGAGCTGGAAGTAGTTTAAGATGGAGTGGGTGGTGGGTTGTTTGTGCACCACAAGAAAGTGGAGCACTGGCTGGGTACAGTGAGGCATGCCTGTAATCTCATCTCTTCGGGAGGTGGAGGTAGGAGGATGGAAGTCAGAGGGTAGCACCAGCAAAAGCACGCAAAAGGGCTTAAATATATACATGCATGCACATGTGTGTGCATGTATGAACATGTGCATGTAACACACAGACAGGGGCAACGTTGTCCTTTTCTTCAGGAGAAAAGTGGGCGTTGGAGGCTGGGGAGGAGGAGGCTTTTGTTTGCTTTTTTGAGACAGGCTCTCTCTGTGTAGCCCAAGCTGGCCGGGAACTCAGGCCTGCCGATCTCAGCCGCCCGAGTGCCAAGATCGCAGTCATGCTCACCACGCTCAGCTAGAGGGGGTTTTGATGGATACCTTCGGGTACCTTATGAACCTGGAATTATGTAACTCTTATCTATTCCCCCAATAAGTGGAGCTGTGTAGGCTGTGCAGGTTTTGGGGTGTTTGGGCAAACCTTCTGGGCATGCGCACCCATGCCCCATGCTCCCCATGCTGAGCACCAACGTGGTAAAGTTTCTTATTTATGACTCATTGAGTTTCAGGAGAGAGTAGAGCCAATGGCGGTGACCATCACCCAACATCTCGCCCCTGGCAATCTTCCCGGAGCCCGACAGAGCGCGGAGCAGCCTCACCTCATTAAATTCGGGGTTCAGGGTTTTCTTCTTGATCTGAGTCTTGTGCTTGGCTTTCTTCCCCATGTCCGGTTTCAGCCACCTGGAAGGGGACAGGAGGGCGGCTGGGGACGGGGGGTGAAGCAGGAGGAGAGAGCCGGCACCCCACACACCGAGCCGCAGGGCTGTGGAGCGCAAGCCCACCGCAAGGAAATGGCCACAGCATGGACCTGGTGCCAGAGCGGCCACTTCACTTCATACACAGAAACGAGGGCCCAGAGGGACGGAGGCTCAGAGCCGGAGGGCCGTGTCCCAGGCACACAGCTCGGAACCACGCCCAGCAGCCGTCTGTGCTCTCAGTGGCCCCTTCCTCTGCTCCTTATTCTCCTTTCTGGCCCAGGGCCTTTGCACATACAGACTCCTTTATCTAGAAGGCTCTTCCCCAGTGTGGGCACGATACCTGGTGCATGTCAGGTGCTGAGTCACGTGTTTTCGGGGTGAAAACACACACCCTGAGACTTTTGGAATGTCCACATAACACTCCTATTTGCCAATAGGGTGTCTCTGTTAGGAAGTATTTTACAGTAAAGTAAACAAAATTGACTTAAGCTACTCCGGGTTGGGGTGTTTGGATTCTGACTTGGGCTGCCACTGGCTGAACAGTTTTGAATGTGAACGTAACTTACTGTGCCTCAGTTTCCTGATCTGTAAGAGGGCAAGCTTTTTTATTTACAGAACTGATTTTGAAGGTGTGTGTGTGTGTGTGTGTGTGTGTTACTGGGCTTGAGCCAAGGACCTCGTACATGCAAGGCACGCTCTCTACCACTGAGACACATCCCCAGTTCTTGCCTTTTTTTGTTTTTTTTAAAGAAGAGCTGAAGGAGCCAAATACCTGCTGGGACAGGGCCTAACAGGGGCGTGGCCTCTGCTGGGCTGGGTGGATGGAGGCGTGGCCTCTGCTGGGCTGGGTGGGTAGGGGGCGTGGCCTCGGCTGGGCTGGGTGGGTAGGGGGCGTGGCCTCTGCTGGGATGGATGGAGGCGTGGCCTCTGCTGGGCTGGGTGGGTAGGGGGTGTGGCCTCTGCTGGGATGGATGGAGGCGTGACCTCTGCTGGGCTGGGTGGGTAGGGGGCGTGGCCTATGCTGGGCTGGGTGGGTAGGGGCGTGGCCTCTTCTGGGCTGGGTGGATGGAGGCGTGGCCTCTGCTGAAATGGATAGGGGCGTGGCCTCTGCTGGGCTGGGTGGATAGAGGTGTGGCCTCTGCTGGGCTGGGTGGGTAGGGGGCGTGGCCTCTTCTGGGCTGGGTGGGTAGGGGGCGCAGCCTCTGCTGGGATGGATGGATGGAGGCGTGGCCTCTGCTAGGCTGGGTGGGTAGGGGGCGTGGCCTCTTCTGGGCTGGGTGGATAGAGGCGTGGCCTCTGCTGGGCTGGGTGGGTAGGGGGCGTGACCTCTACTGGGATGGGTGGGTGGGGGCGTGGCCTCTTCTGGACTGGGTGGGTAGGGGTTGTGGCCTCTGCTGAAATGGATAGGGGCGTGGCCTATGCTGGGCTGGGTGGGTAGGGGGCGTGGCCTCTGCTGGGATGGATGGATGGAGGCGTGGCCTCTGCTGGGCTGGGTGGGTAGGGGGCGTGGCCTCTACTGGGATGGGTGGGTGGGGGCGTGGCCTCTTTACTGAGATGGATGGATGGAGTATGGCCTCTTTTCTCTCCAGGACTGAGATTTGCTGTTAATGCAGCTCTAAGGCCAGGGTCTGAGTGGTTACAGGATGAGCCCGGACAAAGCCAGATTGCTCCCTGGTGCTGGGTTTCTGAGATGCTGGAGGGGGCACACGGCCGACTCCCCGGGGTATACGTAGTATATCATGCCAACCGCTCCCGTCCAGAGCTCTGCATGTGTCATGTGACACACGGGCCTGATGCCCAAGATGTCACCCCACTTCACTGTGCTGCCCTGGGCAGGCTCCTTCCCTCCCTGGCCTCTGTGTGCGAGGACTTGGGGGTCAGCCCCCTGGTCCTCCAGTTCATGGAGCCTGGGCCCCAGCTGCGGACTCACAGCTTGACGAACGGGTCTGAGTAGCCGTTGGCGTCCATGGCGGCCAGGTGCACACAGCGCACGATGCCCACGATGAGGCCGCCCTGCTGCGTGCTGTACATCAGAGATACCAGGATCTTCCCGCGCTCCTCCACATCCCCCAGGCGCTCCACCTGCTGCGGGGAGGGGAACAGGGTGTGTGGACCCGGGGCAGGGGATGCGACCAGCACAGGATCAGCACCATGGACAGCAGCCACTGGCCGGCCTCTGCGTTGACCAGAGGGTGAGAGAAAGCTCCAGCCAGCCCCAGGTCCGGCGGCCCAGCCCCTCTGTTTTGAGACAGGCGTGGATGGAGCTTTGACTCCTGCCTGGGCCCGAGCTCCCCTGGCTCTGATCTGTGGCTTTCCCTGGCAGATGGCCCCGAGGTGCAGAGCAAGCTGGCAGCACCCAGCTGGAAGAGCCCGAGCCTGCCCGGGGCCATGGAGGGAGGAGGGGCCGCTGCTGTGGTATGGCAGGTGGGCAGCTGTGGGGGAGGGGGTCTAGGACGAGGGGAGGGAGGCCAGAGCCCTCCGGAGCAGCTCGGGCCTCCTCCCCTCGGTGCTTACCTCCTCCTCATAGAGGGCCATGCCGCGGGCTGAGCCGGTGGTCCCTGCTCGCTTCATCTTGAGGAAGGAGACAGAAAGATAGTCAAGGTTGGCATGGAATGAACTGGAACCAGCCATGCCCTGTGGGACAGAAGCCCCTACCCATCTGACCCCCTTCATGTCCTGGCTGGCAAGATGGACAGACCCAGGCGCCACTGACGCGGGCAGACCCCAGACCATTGTCCTGCCCACCTACGGCCCCAGGGTGGCCCTTGATGGCTGCGTGCTGCGATTCTCCTTCCTGTGTCTCTCCCTGCACTGAGCGACAGGCAAGACCCCGCCCTTCACCCCAAGGCTGCCCTGGGGGATGCTGGGCCCCGAGACCACGGCTTCGGCCCCTGGGGGGGCCACCCCAGCTATGCGCGCACCCCACGTTCCTCCCTGAGATAAGGCATCTCAGGGAGCCCTCTGCAAAGCGACGTTGGAAAAGCTCTGCTGGTGACATGTTCCTGAAAACTGGAATTTGTCTTTGTCCTTTCTCAGGGGTCGATGCCACGTCCTGGCCGGCAAGCCGCGGGGGGGGGGCGTCCCCACAATTGCTGCCACTCACGCTCTGTTCTGGTGATTCTCACACAGCCACCCCTTACACACGTGCACACACTCATGCACACATGCACACACACACTCCTAGGGGTTCAGTCCTTGGCCCAGGCCTGGAGTGAGAAGAACGTGCCAATAGAACTTTAGCCCAGATGTGTTCAGAAAAGTGATGGGCCGAGGGGAGCAGCCCTGGTGCTTAGGAGCCACGCCCCGTCCCCTGGGACATGGCCACTGCCGTGTTCAGTCGCCCCTCAGAGCTGCCCCGGTGCCGACCTGGGGGAGGGCAGCAGCTCCCGCCCCGTGGGACTTCGAGGGGGACACTCACAGGGATCACCCGCTCCAGGCAGATGTTGAAATTCTTCCTCTGGTTGGGTTTCAGTTTCTTGAGTGAGAATCGGGTCTCCCCGATGAACTCATTGTGACCAAACTTGTCCTCATCACACACCGAGATCCTGAGGTAGGCGGGAAGGAAAGCAGCGAACACTGAGCTCCTACTGTGTGTGGAGAGCTCCCACTGTGTGCTGGAGTCCCACTGTGAGCCACAGCTCCTGTGTGCCAGGAGTTCCCACTGTGTGCCAGAGCACCCACTGTGTGCCAGGAGTTCCCACTGTGTGCCAGAGCACTCACTGTGTGCCAGGAGCTCCCACTGTGTGCCAGGAGCTCCCACTGTGTGCCAGAGCACCCACTGTGTGCCAGGAGCTCCCACTGTGTGCTAGAGCACCCACTGTGTGCCAGGAGTCCCCACTGTGTGCCAGGAGCTCCCACTGTGTGCCAGAGCCCAGGAGTCCCCACTGTGTGCCAGGAGCTCCCACTGTGTGCCAGGAGCTCCTGTGTGCCAGGAGTTCCCACTGTGTGCCAGAGCACCCACTGTGTGCCAGGAGCTCCCACTGTGTGCCAGAGCACCCACTGTGTGCCAGGAGCACTCACTGTGTGCCAGGAGCTCCCACTGTGTGCCAGGAGTTCCTGTGTGCCAGGAGTTCCCACTGTGTGCCAGGAGTTCCCACTGTGTGCCAGAGCACCCGTGTGCCAGAGCACCCACTGTGTGCCAGAGCACCCACTGTGTGCCAGGAGCTCCCACTGTGTGCTGTTGCCAGAGCACCCACTGTGTGCCAGAGCACCCACTGTGTGCCAGGAGCTCCCACTGTGTGCCAGAGCACCCACTGTGTGCCAGGAGCACTCACTGTGTGCCAGGAGTTCCTACTGTGTGCCAGAGCACCCACTGTGTGCCAGAGCACTCACTGTGTGCCAGGAGTTCCCACTGTGTGCCAGGAGCTCCCACTGTGTGCCAGGAGTTCCCACTGTGTGCCAGAGCGCCCACTGTGTGCCAGGAGTTCCCACTGTGTGCCAGGAGCTCCCACTGTGTGCCAGAGCACCCTCTGTGTGCCAGGAGCTCCCACTGTGTGCTGGGATCTTGCACAGTACTGGAGGAATGTGGTGTGTGCACTGCCATCCTGTCAGGCTGCAGCCCTGCTGCTGCTCTTTTTCTTAATGGCTTCCCAGTAACCACTCCCTAGGTCCCTGGCTGCCGGGGTCACAGCCTGCCCGTGACCTTCACATTAATGGAACTAAGCAGTCTGTATCTTTAATGTTTTCTAACCTTATTTTGAAACAGGGTCTCAGATTCAAAACGCCCCTGCCCTGCCTTCTGAGTGCTGGGATTACAGCCGTGCCTCTTTTATGTGTGGCTTCTTTTACTGCACATTCTTTCTGCACTAAGGGATGCAACCAACCATGAATGGAAACTATTTGAAATAAACATCGCACTGTGCCAAACGCGTATGGCCTTTCCTCATCAAAATCCCCTCAACACACGCCAGTTATACTGCAGCAGGGGAAAAGTATACGGAGACACGCGCAGACTCCATGCAAACAGTGCGCAGATTTACAGAAGGACTTGGTACCCCAGGGATCCTGAAGGCAATCCCCACGGACACAAAAGCTTGGGTGAGTGTGTGTGTGTGTGTGTGTGTGTGTGTGTGTACGTGCCAGGGCTGGGGCTTGAACTCAGGACCTGGGCGCTGTCCCTGAGCTGGTTCACTCAAGGCTAGTGCTCTACCACTTGAGCCATAGCGCCATGTCCAGCTATTTGCTGATTAGTTGGAGAGAAGAGTCTCACAGACTTTCCTGACTTTGAATCTTGATTCTCCGATCTCGGCCTCCTCATTGGCTAGGATGACAGGCGTGAGCCATGGGTGCCTGGCTTTAGAAATACTTTGGTTTTGTAAAGGTGAAAAGGAAAATGGAGCTATGCAGAGGCTGTTTTAAAGCGTGGCCCTGGGAGGCTGGGTGCGGGGGTGGGGGGGCCTGGGCCCCTCCCCCTGCCTGTCCCCCTCTCCCCTCCCCCCTCGCCCTCTCCCCTCCCCCCTCGCCCCCCCCTCACCCAGCAACCCAGCAGGCACCTGAGCGTCTTCCGCTGCATGTCCTCATCGGTGATGCCGTGGTACACCAGGGTCTCGTTCCAGACTGGGTTCCGCGTGTTCCGTAGGGTCTTTGTCCGGAGCTTGTTGGACTACAGTCCGGAGAGATGGACAGACAGACAGAGGCCTGCTTCAGCATGGCAGGCTCTGAATCCCATGCTAGAGGGCATGTGGGTGGGGGCGCTGCCCAGTGGGGGTGTCCAGGGCCTTGGGGCTCCCCAATGCACGCACCCAGGGATGGCATCCTGCAGGGGGTAACGACCCTCAGCACCCCATCCCCAAGCCGTCCTGTGGGGACAGAAAGCAGATTCCCCGCCCCCTACCCCGTGACATGCTCCCCGAGTCTGTGAAGTCTCCTGTGTTGCCCTGGAGGAAGGCAAAATCCTTTCATTTTGTTCCAAAACAGAAGGCTGACAGGCCATCACAGACAGGTGGCCTGGTGGCAGGCCTAACTCACACTAGCGTGTAAATGACTCCCACTGGGCCGAACTGGATGCAGGGGTGTGGAGGGGTGGATCTTGCGGCAGTGGATGGTATGGGGTGGGCGGGGTGATTAAGGAGAGGTGAGGGCTCATCTTTCCTTTCCCTGATCCAAGTGAAGAGACAACGAGGCTGGGTGTGTGAGTGCATGTGTGTGCGCATGTATACATGTGTGCATGCCGTGTGCAGTCTCTGTCTTCCCAGGCAGGTATATTCTCAAGAAAACTGCTGCCCTCCATGTTGTCAGCACAACGAAGCCAGCACACACCCGGCCCCGCTGCCCTGTGGCTGCTCAGGCCAGAGAGCAGGCCCCGGAGGTGAGCGGGGAGCCGCTGGAGGCCAGAGCACAGGGTGGGGGCAGCGGCTTCCCTCCTGCCTGGACCCGCCCTGGCCCAGCCCAGGACCCCGGCCCGGGCCCAGGACCCCGGCCCATGTCCAGGACCCTGGCCCGGGCCCAGTGTGGTCCTCTGCTTGGCCCCCTGGGTGGGGTTCTGCTGCTCAGGGCTATTTCGGGCTCCGAGCTGCGAGCCCTGGGTGCCCGCCAGGCCGCTGTGGCAGCCCGGGCCATATGGTACCTTGCTGGCCCCTGGCAGGAGGTGCAGCTTGACGTAGGGATCAGCCAGGCCATTGGAATCCATGGGCTTCAGTCCCTGGGAGAGAAGGTGATGTGTGAGGGGCTGGGTGGACCGCGGGCTTGGCTGTCACGGGTGGTGGCAGAGCCCCTGGCTTCTGTCCCTTTGTCTCTTCCAGAGACAGAGACAGAGAGACAGAGAGAGAGAGAAGGGCACGGTGCTGTGGAAAGAGCCGGGAGTCGGGTGGACAGGGTTGCTAGAATGTCACTCCCAGGCTGTGTGGCCTCAGGCCGCTGTCCTAACCTCGCTGGTCTCTGTCCCCTCCTGGCACTGGGGACACAGCACAGTGAGATTCGAGCGCCATTTCCCCTGGCTCTTCCCACACAACCACCAAGGCTCTGATGGGAGAAGACGCCCAGGAGGGGGGGTGGGCAAGAGGAGGGGTCGGGAAGATCCCGGGGCGTGGCGCCCGCCCCGGCACCCCACGCCGCGGGCTGCCAGGGGCTGTGTGCGGGGTGAACTTGACCTTGTTCCCACAGCCTGCAGACTCCGGGGCTCAGGCACTGTCCCCCCGCCCCCGCCCGGCCCCTGCTGCCCGTGGTGTGGGAGCCCCTGGAACCCCACTTCTGCTGCTGTACCCTGATGTCTACATCTGCAGAAGCGCAGGGCAGACATGGGAGTGGACCGTGCTGTGGCCATGTCCGCTGCCAGGCCAGCCTGGCGTCCCTCCCCAGGCCCTCCACGGTCCCCTGGCTCCCAGGAGGGGGCCACACCCCTGCAGGACCCCCAGGAAGTTTGCTGTGGCCGAGGCCCAGGCCAGCAGCACCCACCTTGGCCTTGATAATGGTGCACTGCAGGGAGCTGTTGTCCTGCTCGTAGAGAAGGCTGAACTCCAGGGCGCCCAGCGTGGCTGGGCAGCACAGGAAGAGGACGACGTTCGGTTAGCCATTCAACAAACACTCCCTGGCACTTACTGAGAGTCCAGCCAGGCATGAACTTCACCGGGGATATCCCACCCTGATGGTGACCTTCCCTGAACATGATGCCCTTCCTCAGGTGCGATGACCTCTCCCCAGGTGTGATGACCCTTCCTCAGGTGTGATGACCTTCTCCCAGGTGTGATGACCTTTCCCCAGGTGTGATGACCCTTCCTCAGGTGTGATGACCTTCTCCCAGGTGTGATGACCCTTCCCCAGGTGTGATGACTCTCCCTGGGTAATGGCTTCCCCTGGGTGTGATGTCCTTCCTAGGGTGTGATGACCCTGTTTGGGTGTGATGACCTTCCCTGGGTGTGGTAATCATCCCTGGGTTTGATGACGCTCCCCTTGTGTGATGACCCTCCCCTGGTGTGATGACCCCCTGGTGTGATGTCTTTCCTTGGGTGTGATGACCCTCCCTCAGTGTGATGTATGTCCTTCCCTGGGTGTGATGACACTCTTTGGGTGTGATGACCCTCTCCCAGTGTGATGACCCTCCCAGGTGCAATAACCTTCCCTTGGTGTGATGACTCTCCTCAGGTGTGATGACCCTCCTCGGGTGTGGATGATCCCCCGTCCTGTGTGATGTCTTTCTCTGGGTTTGATGACCCTCCCCAGGTGTGATGACCTCCCCAGGTGTGATGACCCTCCCCGGGTATGATGACCCTCTCCCGGTGTGATGACCCTCCCCAGGTGTGATGACCCTCCCCGGGTGTGATGACCCTCCCCCGGTGTGATGACCCTCCCCAGGTGTGATGACCCTCCCCAGGTGTGATGACCCTCCCCCGGTGTGATGACCCTCCCCGGGTGTGATGACCCTCCCCGGGTGTGATGACCCTCCCCCGGTGTGATGACCCTCCCTCAGTGTGATAACCCTCTTTGGGTGTGATGACCCTCCCCAGGTGTGATGACCCTCCCCCGGTGTGATGACCCTCCCTCAGTGTGATAACCCTCTTTGGGTGTGATGACCCTCCCCTGGTGTGATGACCCTCCCCGGGTGTGATGACTTCCCCAGGTGTGATGACCCTCCCCCGGTGTGATGACCCTCCCCCGGTGTGATGACCCTCCCCGGGTGTGATGACCCTCCCCCGGTGTGATGACCCTCCCTCAGTGTGATGACCCTCCCCTGGTGTGATGACCCTCCCCGCGGTGTGATGACCCTCCCCCGGTGTGATGACCCTCCCCCGGTGTGATGACCCTCCCCGGGTGTGATGACCCTCCCCCGGTGTGATGACCCTCCCTCAGTGTGATGACCCTCCCCTGGTGTGATGACCCTCCCCGGGTGTGATGACCCTCCCCAGGTGTGATGACCCTCCCCCGGTGTGATGACCCTCCCTCAGTGTGATGACCCTCCCTCGGTGTGATGACCCTCCCCAGGTGTGATGACCCTCCCCCGGTGTGATGACCCTCCCCCAGCGGGGCTCCCTGAAGTGCCACCCACTGGCTTCATCAGAGTCGTAGCTGTTGGCCTCGTCCTCGTCCTCCTCGGGGGGTGGCGGCTGGCGGGCGGGGGTGGGGGCTGGCTGGGCGGAGGCCGCAGGGACTTGGGGATAGCGGCCCGGCGGGTGGGCACGGTCCTCCCTGGCTCCAGCCATGGCGAAGCCCTCGGCTGCCCCCGTCCTGTCCTCCCGCGGTGGCCCGGTGGCCCCTGGGTGGCCGGGGTCACTGGGCGTCCCCTCTGCAGGGAGAACGGGAGAGGATGGGAACGCGATGATGGAATCTCCATTTCTGGGGCAGCTCTGAGCACAGCTCCAGTCCCCCCGGAACCAGGGGACCCCGGGACATGGCTGCAGATACGGCAAAGCTGGCCGCACAGGACACGGTGTGTGGGGGGGGACAGTGCCACACAGGATGCGCTGGAATGTGGGCTGAGGGACCCAGAGCAAGTGACCGAACGTCTCTGAGCCTTAGTTTCTCAATGGCACCGGGGGAATGTCCCGCTCGGGAGGGCTGGCTGCCGTTGCTCTGATGGCTGCCAATGGCGGTGGTGTTGGGGCCCTGAATGATGGTCACTGGCTCTGAGCCTGGGCCCAGTGAGTTCCCCAGGGTATTCACACGTGGGTTTGCTTGGTTCCCTGACACCCTGTGAGCTAGGCCCTTATACTAGATGAGGAACCGGGGGCTCAGAGAAGCTCAGCCACCTGCCCAGGGCCACACAGCAAGGCAGTGAAGAAGCAGGGCCAGAGCTCAGCCTCGTGGTACGGCTTTGTGCGCCTGCCGCCCCAGCTCGTGTCGCTGTGGGCGGTCCAGCGTGTGCCATGGGGGCTGCTCAGCCCTCCCCAGGCAGGAGTGGGGTGTGGCCAAGTTGGGGAGGCCCAACCACTCAGGAGGAGGTGCACTTGCCTGGCCTCTGCTCTGGAAGGCGTCCTGCCGGTGCTGGTGGGGCTCTGCCGCCCCTGGGGGGCCCTGAGGGGAGAGGGGGTGTGGTGGGGGTGCGCACCTCCTGCTCTCCTCTCCCCTGTCCCGCAGGGCGAGGTCCCAGCAGGAGTCCCCCTAGGAGGCTGGGGGTCAGGGAGGCCGGCATTGAGGACTGGGGGGGTGAGGCCCAGGGGCAGAGCTCTTGCCTAGAATGCACGAAGCCTGGGGTCCTATCACAGCACCCCAGCACTGTGCGAGCTCCTCAGGCCTCGGCGTCCTCGAGGCGGTGCTGGTGAGCTGGGGTGGGAGGGGGACCTGGTAGGGGATGAGGTGTCCCCCCTCCCCCCCCGGCCCGCTCCAGGCCCAGGGCATCAGGAGGGCGCAGGACCCAGCGCTGGCCGCGGCTTCTCCCCAGCCCCCTCTCTGTTTGAGGGCTGGAGGGCCGGGGCCCTGAGGGGAGCGAGGGGCCCGTGGCAGGCACCTGGCTGTGCGGGCTGAGGGGGCGCTGGGCTCGGCCCTGAGGCTGGGGTCTGTCTGGAGGCCTGAACGGAGTTGGCTCGCCTCAACCCTGCGGGGAGAGAGGGGACAGAACCGTGGTGAGCACAGGGTCTCACAAACACACACACAGACGCACAGACACAGACACAGACACACAGACGCACAGACACACACACACACACACACACACAGAGACACGCACACACAGACAGACAGACACACACACACAGACACAGACAGACACACACACAGACACGCACACAGACACGCACACACACACACACACACATGGCTGCGCGTACACACAGACACAGACACAGACACACACAGACACAGACACAGACACACAGACACACACACAGACACACACAGACACAGACGCACAGACACAGACACACAGACACAGACACACAGACAGACAGACAGACAGACACACACACACACACACACACACACGGCTGCGCACACGCAGCAGGTGGGAGCCGGATCTCCACAGGAGATGGTTTCCGCCCCGGCTGCTCCTAACTCTCCTCTGGTCCGTCCCCCCTTCCTTTGCTCTGCTCAGAAGCTGGGTGTGTGGCCCTGCCTGCAATCCCAGCCCCGGGGAGGTGGAGGCACCGGACCACCCGGTGTATGTATGGAATGGCCAAATGACTGCGTAGCAATGGCACTGGGAAGGTTTCCTCTCAGAGCAGCTGACCGGGGGACACGCATTGTCCCGGGCGGGCCCTGAGTGAAGGAAGCCAGGTGCAGATGGAGGCGTCTGACTCCTCTAAGTCAGCATGGAGAAGAGTCAGGTTCCCAGAGACAGGGAGAGGGCAGGGGCTCCTGCGCTCCTGTGCTTCCCCCCAGAGGTGGGAAAAGGGGGGGGCACTGTTCAGTGGGCACAGAACTGCAGTCTGGATCATGAATGCGTCCTCTGCAAACCCGTGCATGTGCTAAAACAAGAACTGTCACACAGAATATGGTGTACATAGCCGAGCCGGTGGCTCACGCCTGTCATCCCAGCCACTCAGGAGGCTGAGATCTGAGGACTGTGGCTTGAAGACAGCCAGGGCAGGAAAGTCTGTGAGATTCTTATCCCCCATGAGCCCCCAAAAAGTTGGAGGTAGAGCTGTGTTTCAAGTGGTAGAGCGCCAGCCTTGAGTGGAAAAGCTCTGGGACCAGTGCCCAGGCCCTGAGTTCAAGCCCCAGGATGGGCACCAAACAAAAAGATGTCTATAGTTTATAGAAATCATAAAACCGCACACCGCATGCTGGGCTGTAGTGAGGGAAAGCGAGCATGTGTATGAAGCACTGGAGACTGGACGGCAGGAAGCAAGCACACAGGAATCATTCTGTGAAACCGCAGACGGATGGGTAGTCTTTCTCTGCCCCCTCCGCCCCAACCACAGGCCCGTGACTGCGTCTGACAGCAGTGGGTATGTGCCCAGTGCATTTGGCTAGCAGAAGGGGAAACTGAGGTGCTAAGCCACGGACCATGATTTAGAAAGCCAAGACCCGAGGGTAACATGGAACCTGAATGTTCAGGTCTGCAGACCTCTGTGCCCCTTGCTACACAGACAATGACACCAGGCCCAAGTTTCTCAGGGCTGTGGGACACAGATCTGCCTAAACTAACAGGTTCCTCAAAGGCCGGGGTTGTGGTTCACCCCTGGGAGGCAGCGGCAGAGGATGATGGTCTGAGGCTGGTCTGGGCAAAGTTAGTAAGACCCCGTGTGGCAAAAAACAAAAAAGCAAAAGGTCAGGGGGAGCGGGGAGTTCACGTCTCTCCAGCGCTTAGTAAACATGAGGCCCTGAGTTCAAGTTCAGCACAGAAAAAAAAATCCAGGGACCAGAGACTCCACCAGGAGTATAGCAGCAGTCAGCAACGCCTTGGCCTTGCTGGCCGCCCCGTCTTCACCGACAGCAGCGGCCAAGGGAAGGAAGAGCTGGGGTGGTGTTGGGGGGGAGCATCCTCACTTTACATAAAGCCGGGAGGCTTTTCTCTCAGGAGGCAAAAACCAACCACGTTTATCTCACATGAGCGGTGAGGGCAAGAGGGACACAGCTAAGGTGACGCAGGTCTGGAGCTATAAGCGGTCGTGAATCTCATCCTCTGTCTATCGTAGACGATGACCAGAGTCGAGCTCGGAGCACTGTACAGAGCAGGTGCTCAGTGAGCGAGGACGCTCCCATCCCCTGCCCCCTGCACCTGCCGCGTCTCACCTGCCGGGCTGCGGCTGGCATCCCCAGCGCCTCCGCCATGGCCCACGTCCCGGCTCTCTGGATCCCTGGGTGGTGTGTTCATCTGGGCCTCAGAGGCCCTGCGCACGGGAGGCCCGTAGCTCCCTCGCCCAGGAGCAGAGGCCAGGCCGGGGCCTGGCAGGGAAAAGCAGGGGTTGAGCAAGAGAGGGCAATGGAGGTCTGGGCAAAAGGAATCCGGGACCAAATTTACCTGTCTTATGACCGAGGCTCCTTCTCTCCTCAGTGTCATCTGGAAACAGAGAGGGAGAGGGACAGAAAGGGAGAGGGAGAGAGAGAAAACATGGGAAGCACTGGTCTTGTGGAGTCTGGAGAATTACTTGTTAAGAAGCCCACAGAAGGGTTCATCCCCCCATCCTGAGACCATTCAGAGGAACCAGTGTAGTGGCATACATCTAGAATTCCAGCTATCCGGGAGGTGGAGCATGGAGGGATCACTGAAGCCACCTCAGGGGGAACGGAAAGGGAGATTCCATCTCACCAACACATCTGGGCACGGCCGCTCTCGCCTGTCTTCTTGGCTCTTCAGGACGCATAAACAAGAGAGCACTGTGGTCTAAAGCCACAGCCCAGGCAAACATGTGAGACCCTATCTGGAAGGTAATCCAAGCAACACAGGCTGGAGGTTGTGGGTCAAGTGCTCAGCAAGCGCAAGACCCTGAGTTCAATCCCTGATAGGGCCAAAAAGAAATAGACACGAAAAACGAAGGCTTCCTCCCCATTTCTCCCCTGCTCTGTCTCCTACTTACAAGTCTCACAGCATTTGCTTCTTTTTTTGCTGTTGTTGTTGCCAGTCCTGGGGCATGAACTCAGGGCCTGGGCACTGTCCCTGAGCTCCTTTGTTCAAGGCTAGCACTGTACCACGTAAGCCACAGCTCCACTTTCAGCTTTTTCTGTGATTAGAGATAAGAGTCTCTGCCTGGTCTGGCTTCGAATTATGATCCTCAGATCTCAGCTACCTCAGTAGCTAGGATGACAGGCGGGAGCCACCGGTGTCCAGCTGTGTGGTATTTCCTTTACAGGCACAGCAGAGGAGCACACGTGTGAGCTTTGAACAGTGTGCAACACGATCTTTGCAGCCGAGAGACCAGCAGCTCAGGATGCTGAACAGGTGCCTTGTTCAGGGCTGTGTCTGCTGAGGGCCTGGCGATTCTTAGCAAGGAGCAGAAACTGCTTGTGCTTTGCCAGGAAGAAAGCATTTGCTGAAAGCCTCAGTGTGTGTGTGTGTGTGTGTGTGTGTGTGTGTGTGTGCATGTGCATGCTGGGCCAGGCTTTGTGAGAAATCACCTTAAAGGAGACACCCAGGAAGTCCCCACTAGAGCCTTTTTTGTGGAAGCTCCGCCGGAGTCACCAGGCAGGCCACCCATGTGCAGTTTTCACTTCAGTGATTACCAGGACGTTATCTGGCCAGTCCCAGTGGTCTAATCCTATTAAGACATGTTGTTACTGTGATTGCTATTTAAAAAAAATTTTTGCCTTTCACTTCTACTCATTATCTTAATAATGAATAATTCTTGGTCAGGGCACAGTGGCTCCTGACTATAATCCTGGCCACTCGGGAGGCGAAGATTAGGAGGATCATAGTTTAAGGCCAGTCTGGGCAAAACAAAGTTCCTGAGATCCCTCCTCCCATCTCGACTAATAAAAATTGAGCATGCTGGTGCATGACTGTCATCCAAGCCACGCTGGGAGTGTAAATAGAAGAATCATAGTCCAGGCTATAGACCTAAAAGCCTGTTGTTGTTCGGTTGTTTTTCTTTTTAACCTAAACGAAAAAGAACTGGAGACATGGCTCAAATGAGACAGTCCCAGTACTGTCAAAAAATATTTCAAGCCGGGTGCCAGTGGCTCACGCCTGTCATCCTAGCTACTCAGGAGGCTGAGATCTGAGGATCTCGGTTCAAAGCCAGCCCAGGCAGGAAAGTCCATGAGACTCTTATCTCCAATAAACCACCAGAAAACTGGAAGTGGCACTGTGGCTCAAGTGGTAGAACGCTTGCCTTGAGCTGAAGAGTGATATATTTCCATAGTAATGACACCATCAACAGTAGGGATAAGTCTCTTTGGCTACTTTCATTTTGATTCATCTTTCACATTTCTGTCTGGAGACAGTACATAGCCCAGGCTGACTTCAAACTTGGGATCTGCTTCCACCTCCTGGGTGCTGAGACTAGGTGTGTGCTACCATGCCTGGTTTACCTTTCCTTTTTAGTTAGTCTAATTTCAGATTTAATTCTAGCTGACAGAAGAAATAGGAGGATCCAAAACCATCCTCAGTAAGCCTCAAGCTTACAGTATCTTTTGAGGAAGAGATCTCTCAATTTTGAGGTTTTTAACTTCTCCCTCTTTTAGATCTCTAAACGTCCCACTAGGTCTGAGGGCCAGGCTGCTTGGCTTCCTGGCTTTTCTGGAGAGGTCCCCCATGTCACCTTCCTGAAAAAGGTGAATGGCAGGCTGATGGAGAAAAGGAACCTTGACTCAAATCCAGCAGCAAGCACACAGTAGAATACGCTGCAGGTAGACCAGCTGGCCAGGAGCTGTCCTTGGTGCTGGAGAGCAGCTTTTGGGTCCTACCTTGGGTTGAGGGTCGGACTGCCGGCTTGGGTTCCGAAGTGTGCTGCTCCGAACCGGGCTGCAGGGCCTTGCTCCTCGTTATAGGCATGGGCTGTGGAAGGACCTGTTTGGGGAAACCCTTGAAGAACCATGCTCCAGATCGCTTCCACACCTGAGGAGGGAGGGAGGGAGGGAGGGGTGAAGACACAGCAGCCGTGCCTGTGTGCTTCAGCCTTTATAAGCCAACTTTGATCTCTGCTCCACTGCACATTGGTACAGCAACTCCCTCCCACATCTCCGCAGGAGTTCACTCCATGCCTCAGTCCTGCAAACTCAACACCAACCACTGGTGATGTCTGCGGTGGAGAAAGAGGAACATGGGAAATATGGAGGGCTGGCCCCACAGGACACAGCATGTGTGGTGAGGTTAGGGCTGTGTGGTGTGGTCAGGGCTGTGTGGTGTGGTCAGGGCTGTGTGGTGTGGTCAGGGCTGTGTGGTGTGGTCAGGGCTGTGTGGTGTGGTTAGGGCTGTGTGGTGTGGTCAGGGCTGTGTGGTTAGGGCTGTGTGGTGTGGTTAGGGCTGTGTGGTGTGGTCAGGGCTGCGTGGTGTGGTCAGGGCTGCGTGGTGTGGTCAGGGCTGGGTGGTGTGGTCAGGGCTGTGTGGTGTGGTCAGGGCTGTGTGGTTAGGGCTGTGTGGTGTGGTTAGGGCTGTGTGGTCAGGGCTGTGTGGTCAGGGCTGTGTGGTTAGGGCTGTGTGGTGTGGTCAGGGCTGGGTGGTGTGGTCAGGAATGTGTGGTGTGGTCAGGAATGTGTGGTGTGGTCAGGGCTGTGTGGTCAGGGCTGTGTGGTCAGGGCTGGGTGGTTAGGGCTGGGTAGTGTGGTCAGGGCTGTGTGGTGTGGTCAGGGCTGTGTGGTGTGGTCAGGGTTCTGTGGTGTGGTCAGCGATCTGCAGTGTGGCTGGGGCGGTGGGGTCGCGGCCGGGGCCGTGGGGTCACGGTCAGGGCCGTGGGGTCATGGTCAGGGCCGTGGGGTCGCGGTTGGGACCGGAGGCAGGACTCACCTCCCTCTGCTCCAGGCAGATCTTGCAGAGCCACACGGGGTGCGGGCGGTTGTTGGTGGTCTCCACCCCACACTTGGTGCACACATTCTGGGGACAGAATGACCGTGCAATGAACACACTGGTGCGCCAGGCCTGAGCAGGGAGGGGCGGAGGGGAGGGCCCGGGAGAGCTAACCACAGGACCCCAGGATCTCTCAGTAGATGGAAAGATCTAGAACTGTACTTTCCATGTCCTTTCTCCCATGAGAGAGGCCAGTTGGACTTAAGCCCCGACTCGAATCTGACTCTCCATCACAGGAGCCTGAGCTTCTCGCAGCACTGATGAGGAAACTCACCCCGAGTCCCTGCACCGGGGCCTGAGTTTCCCCCATGCTCAGACAGATTCCTGATGCACGTCATAAGAGGGGGGCTGTCTGTCCATTCTGGTTTTTATTTCTTCTTTCCTGCCCCAAAGGATCCAAGACAGCCCTGACTAGGACTGAAGTCCACAACTCGCCAAGGAGAGGAAAGTTAACTAACTGTGCAGCTGGACATTATATTTTGGGGCTGCATTTCCTGGCAGCCAAGGCAAAAAAAAAAAGGAAAACCTGAGATGTCATGAAGTCTTTGCTTCAGGTTGATGGCAGCAGCTGTGTTTCAGAATAGACAAAGCTCTCCCAGCACCCCATTCCAGCACCCCATTCCAAGTGGGGCGCTTAGACCCACTGGGGGATCAGCAGGCGCAGAGCAAGACAGGCCCCTGTGCCCTCAGGCATCGAGAGTGGGATCTGGGGAGAGGGTCCAACAGGCCGGGGGGAGGGGGCTCCCTAAGTCAGGGAACACTGGGGGCTGGGTATGTGGCTTAGCGGTGCGGTGCTTGTCTACCATGGCGTGAGGCCCTGGGTTTGGTTCCTCAGCACCACATAAGCAGAAAAGCCAGAAGTGGCGCTGTGGCTCAAGTGGTAGAGTGCTAGTCTTGAGCCAAAGAAGCTCAGGGACAGTGCCCAGGCCCTGAGTTCAAGCCCCAGGACTGGCAAAAACAAAAACAAAAAACAGAAAACACTGAAAGCGCTGACATTTACATGTATGGCACATTCCATACTGAACTTTCCAAGCCACCACCAAGATCCTGGCCGGATCCATCACCCCCATGTTCTCCGGTACTCCCCAGGCCCCCAAATCCATCCTGGATGGAGCTCATGGAGGACCAGAGGGACTTCCACAGGGATGAAGTAGGCTCAGGATGACCCTGGGGGACAGTTGACCTGGGGGAGGGGAGGCCTCCCAAGGGAATTCAAGGAGCAAGCTTCACCCCCCCCAAGCCCCACCCCACATCCCATCCCACACCCTGACCAGGCCCCCGTGGTGCTGAGCCAAAAAGGGGTCCCCGTACCTTCTTGCAGTCCTCGCACACCACACAGGTGGAGCCCAGCGTCCCCAGCTGCTCCCCGCACAGGATGCAGCGGTTCACGCCGTCTCCCGCCACGTTCTTCCTCATGTTCTCCAGCCGGTCCACCAGGCGCCTGCGCAGAGACGGGGCAGTGAGGACTTCACCCCCCCTCCCCCGGCTGTCCTGCGGGGCCAGCTGGGTGCCCTTCACCTCCTGTGCTGTGCCCTGAGCACCTGCAGGTGGCCATGCCAGGAGACCGCCCTGCCCAACACCCACCAAGCCCACCTACTCTGCGTGAAGACGCTTGCTGAGCTGAGCAGGTGTGCACGCCTGTCATCCTAGCTACTCAGGAGGCTGAGATCTGGGGATCACAGGGCAAGGTCAGTCCGGGCAGGACCAAAAAGCCAGAAGTGGAGCTGTGGCTCAAGTGGTTGAGCACGAAATCTCAGGGACAGCGCCCAGGCACTGAGTTCAAGCCCCAGGGCTCTCTCTCTCTCTCTCTCTCTCTCTCTCTCTCTCTCACACACACACACACAGAGTTTCCACATTCAGCATCCAATTCGCAGGAGTCCTGTCTGCTTGCTAAACTATCTCACAACAAGCACTCCTGACCGTGCATTGATTAAAAGGCATTCTGGAAGACACAAGGACAAAGAGCAGGGCTGAGCCACGTTCGAGTCTCTTCCTGGGCCCCTGGATGGTGAGGAGCTTGGTTCTCTGAGGCTCTTCTGGACCGGGCTTGGTGCAGATGGTCGAGCCACACTGTGACTTTGCTCAGTGCAGCCCTCGGGGACCGCAGGCCTGAGGCGGCAGCACCCAGACACCCCCTCTTCTCTGAACGCAGCAGAAGGGCCTCCGGGACCCCCCAGGCAGTGTCTGCGACAGCCTGGCTTCAGCACCTGCTCGGCCATGGAGAGCAGTTAGCGTCCGCCGTGGGCAGCCGTCGCTGCGGGCCAAGCGTCCCCACAGGCTCCCTGCCTGCGTGGCAGAGGCAAAGGCCTGGCCGCGTCCATTGCTGCATGTGCCTCGGGGCCGGGGTCTTCGTGGTGCCTCGGGTTCTCCCGTTCTCCTCTCCTCCCCTCTCCTCGGCCGTCTCCTAGCCCCGTCTTCGGTTGCACTGGCGTTCTGTTTTGTTTTGAGACAGGGGCTCACCACGTCGCTCAGGTGTGTCTGAAACTTGCAGTTACCCAGGGTGGTCTCCAACTTGCCTCTCTCTCTGCCTCCCATGTGCTGGGATTCAAGGCAGGCACCCCCAGCCCTGGCCTCCTGAAGCTTGTCCGGGGGGGCTGCAGAGACGATGCACTCATTTCTCAGTGCACACGCGCACGCATGCTCACGGATCCACAGGCAGCCCCACGTGCCGCGGGGGGGGGCTGCGCATGCAGGAACACGCCTGGCCCCGCGTGCCTGTACACCGGCCGCTGCTCTTTGGGCTCCAGCCCCAGCCGCTGCCCCCCAGGGGCCTGAGCCAGCTGCGGCGGCCCGCTGCCCGCCTCTCCGCTCCGGGTCCTCGGGAGGGCCAGACACCTCAGAAACATCCCCGTATCTGAAATGCACCCAGAGCAGACAAACGAACTCCCACCGCACCAGGACGCAGGCGTGGTGGGTTTATAGCCCGAGATGTGAATGTGAATGGGGGGGACGCTAAAAGCTGGGGTGCCACCAGCTGATAGAGCAGCAGCCAGCCGTGAGGGCGCAGGGATTCAGAGAGGAGGCATGGTTGCTGGCCGCCTGCCTGTCTGTCTGTCTGTCTAGCTGTCTGTTTGCCTGTCTGTCTGTCTGCCTGTCTGTCTGTCTGTTTGCCTGTCTCTCTGTCTGTCTGTTTGCCCATCTGTCTGTCTGCCTGTCTGTCTATCTGTCTGCCTGTCTGTCTGTTTGCCTGTCTGTCTGTCTGCCTGTCTGCCTGTCTGTTTGCCTGTCTGTCTGTCTGTTTGCCCGTCTATCTGTCTGCCTGTCTGTCTGTCTGTCTGCCTGTCTGTCTGTCTGCCTGTCTATCTGTCTGCCTGCCTGTCTGTCTGTCTGTCTGTGTGTCTTCTCTCTTCTCTCCCTTACACACACTATCAGTTACAGAGCCATGCTGTGTGCTCTGTCTCATCCTCATTGCTGGGTAGAGGCTGGTACCCTGGGGTTTATTAAACCTGGCACTAGCCAGGCGCCGGTGGCTCACACCTGTCATCCTAGCTACTCAGGAGGCTGAGATCTGAGGATCACAGTTCAAAGCCAGCCCAGGCAGGAAAGTCTGTGAAACACCAGAACACCGGAAGTAGTGCTATGGCTCAAGTGGTAGAGCGCTCGCCTTGAGCTGAAGAGCTGAGGGGCAGCGCCCAGGCCCAGAGTTCAAGACCCACATCGGACAACAACAACAAAGAAAACCTGAGGTTGGGGTTGGATGGTCCACCGCGAGCAGGGAGTTGGCTCCCGGCGGGGCCCGGCCCGAGGCTCCAATGGGGCCTCTGAGGACCTGCTCTTAGATGACAGAGCGGCTCCAGGGCGAGGCCAGCGCCGCACCGTGTCTCAGTCAGGCAGCAGACCCGTGCACCTGTTCCTCCTGTGGCCTGGGGTCACCTGACCGACAGAGCCCCGGCCTCTGCACCCCGGGGAAGCCAAGCGGGCAGCAGGAGAGGGTGGGGCCCGGCTGGCCTGGTGGAGCCGAGCGGGGAAACAGAGGTACCAGAGGCCAGTCACTTGCCCAGGTCCCCACGGCCATCCGGCTGCCAGGAAAGCGATGTCTGTGTCTTGTGTGGTGCTTTTGTGTGGGGCCGGGCTCCTCTCCCCTCTCTGCCTGTCCTTCCCCGTCCTGAAAACAGAGCTGAGAGACTGTGCATCGGACAAGGGTAAATGGGACAAGGAGGAAGGAGGATGCAGGGGAGACAGAGGTAAAGAACCTGATACCTGAGACCCGTCTAATTTAGAGACTGCTCTGACTCCCCCAACCATCTGTCAGTTGCTTTCCCCAAAGGCAATACCGGAAGTTCAAAGTCTGATGCGGCAGTGTAAAGGCTGTGCGCCCTGGGCGAGTGGCTTGACCTCTCTGAGCTCCCACTTTCTCAGCTACAAAACAGAAACATCTGCCTCTCAGCAAGGACAAATGAGGATGAAAGGAAATAGGCTGGCACCGTGCCAGGAGAGAAATGTTTCTCTCTGGAACATTACAATAGGGTTTACAAAAGAATCACCGACCCATTACCACAAGCTGTGTGACTCTGGGCAAGCCACGCAAGCTCTCTGTGCTCCGTTTTCCTCTGTGCAGTGGGAGCGATGAGGCTGCTGTGTGGAGCTCTGAGCGCAGCGGCTGTGGGGTGCGGGGTGCTGTGTGAGTGGTCTGCTGAGATTTTTTCCTCCTTAAAACTAAGAAAAGAGTTGGACAGGGTTGCAGAAAATGTCTTGAGTTCCTCTGTGGTTCAGAGTCCCCTAAACCCAACGATGTCGACTCAGAGACGTGCACAGACACACGCGTGTCTCCATTACCCGCACCCTTCCCTCGGGCCCCAGGCCGTGGGCAGCAGGACTAGAAGGCTGGGTTAGGAAGGCCAGGGTGTGGGTGTGGCTTGCTGTCTCCTGTCCAATAGGAAAGAGGTCTAAGTACACAGGGCAACCTGGGAGATTCATCACATGTCTCCCTGGGTCCATATTCTGGAACAATTCTGTGTCAACAAGAGGGCGGGGATGGGGGTGGGGGGGGGAGGGGAGGGTGTTGTCCCCCAGGTGGGAGCCAATAGGAATACAACAGAGTCTGAGCCAATCCCCGCCCCCCCCCCACGTCTCTCCAGCATGCTCCTCCATCTACGTCTAGATGTCAAGGTTAATGACAAGCCCTAATTGCTTTTCCAGGTCCATCTGTCTAGGAAAGCTGACCTGGAATGGCAGCCACCTTCCCTGCGTGCCTGCCAGATGCCCTGGCCAGGAAGAAAGATGGAGACAGGGCGGCCTGGCTTTTCCCAGACAGTGACCCGCAGGCCTCCATCCTCAGACTGGTGGGCCCCAGCCCCACGGACACGGCTCCGACAGCCCCGGGGCTGCGGCCAGGCGCATGGGAGCGAGGGAAGCGTGGAAGGTGCCCAGCCACCTCTCACCCTGAGCGAGCTCTTGGGCGTGGCAGGTGTGTGGTCAGGAATCCGAGGCCAGCCCCTGAGGGGGAGGCACCTCGTGGAGTCGGGAGCACTGTTTTCAGAGCCAGCCCAGAGGGGCCATCCCTGTGACCTCGGGCGGGTGAGCTAGGCTGACTGAGCCTCACCTACTAAGTGTGGCTGATGACAGCGCCCGGCTGGGGTGAGGTCAGATGCTTACCACAGGGCTGGACACGGAGCCGGCGCTGAAGTCCAGCGTGGGTCAGTAACAGTGTCCTCACACCCGGCCCAGATGGCTCCCACTCAGATAGTTGGAGGGAGAACTTAGCACCACAGGGGCCTCTGACCCGGGGCTGGGCCCCAGAGGGTGCCGCATCTATCTGCAGAAACACCTGCAGCCAAGCTCCTTAGGAGAAGCCCATTTGCACTGATGCATGGCCAACAATGCGGTATGGGGTCTCCCATCCCTGCCCCCAAACACTGCAGAGGCTGAGCAGGAAGGATCCGGAGAACCACAGGGACCTATTTGACATTTGAGGAAACTGAGCCCCTCCCCCCAATCTCATTGATCTAACAGCCTCAGGTTTCTGCTGCGGGGCCCCACGGCGCTCTGTTTGCAGTCTTACCGTTCATTATGGTTACTGGTGGCACTGGGGTTTGAACACAGGGCCTCACAGTTGCCAGGCGGCTGCTCTTCCACTTGAGACACACCCCAAGCCTTTAGGCTTTAATTTTCAGATAGGGTCTCCATTTTTGCCAGAGTGGCCTGGACTTCCACCTCTCTCACTTAGCTGGGACATCAAGTATGTACCACCATGCCCAGCTTCTGAGTAGCTGGGATTACGGACCTGAACCACCATCCTTGGCAAAAGATATCTCTCTGTCTCTCTGTCTCTCGGTCTCTGTCTCTGTCTCTCGGTCTCTGTCTCTGTCTCTCTGTCTCTCTGTCTCTGTCTCTCTCTCGGCAGTACGAGGTCCTCCACTTCCAAGGCAGGAGCTCTGTCACTTGAGCCACGCCCCTCCGCCCTCCTGCTTTGTACGAGATGCTCTACCTGGCTTTCATCTACCTCTGCTCTGATTCTGTTCCAGGGAGGGTAGGTGAAGCAGGAATGAGGGCAGGCAGGAGCTCAGCAGACACAGAGAGCGGGCTTGCCTCTGGGAATGCTGCCAGCCAGCCTTGGCTGTTGGGAGGCTGCAGAGAAAGAGCTACATCTAGAATCTTCTGGGGGCTGTCCCTCCATGCCAGCAAATCTCAACAAAGGTACCTCTTGTCGGTGTGGATTTGGCCCTGGACGCCTCTCAAAGTCTCCTTCAGGAGAAGCCAGAGGCTGGGGGATGACAGGGGCCGCTTGCCAAACTGGAGTCTCGGGCACAATTGCGGACCAGAGAGGCGCCAGAGAATGTCATAAACGAACCTTGTTTTTCTTCTTACACGTACTGCGAAATAGTTGCCATGCTTCACTGACTGTGGGCTCTGCAAGGATGCTCTGCATGCTAACCGAGTACTCGCCAAGAAGGGTGTGCTGATATTACCCCCACTTTGCCGACGAGGAAACGGAGGCACAGGGAGGTAAGGTACCAAAGGGACAGAGGTGGAATTTGAACCCAGGTTTCTCTTACCTGTGGAAGCCCACGTCTGTGTCGGCCACCATGCCACCAGTTCGGTGGGAGAATGCTAAATCATGGGGGGAGTGTTGGAATGTTCCAGCTGGGATCTGCTATGTCCATGGGGATCCCCAGAGCTTCACCTCCGGAAGCTGCCTCACACTGAGCCTGGGACCCTGGCTGCAGCTGACTGAGGGACAAAAGATAGCACTGGATGGAAGCCGGCCAATCGACATCTTTTCCTGGGAATTTGGACTCTGACTGCAGTGACTGCATCAGGATAGCACCCAATATAAGCCAAATAATCAGGGAAATAATCCTGGGAAATTGGTTCCTGGAAAGATTCTAAATTTCCCACCTACTTGGCCACAAGGTGTAGAAAAGATATCGGCATGCTCTTCATACGTAATACTTGGCTGGGCAGCTACCCAGCCTTGCCTGCAGGGAACACTACAGGAACTTCCCCCTACTGTCCGCCGCATGAGAGTGACACGTGACGTTCAAAATAACCCTGTAGAGAGTAACCCGCACAGGTGGTCACCCCATTTCCCAGCGTCCACTCTCCAGCCCATTCACACACCTCCCGTTTCTCTCCAGCTCTGTCCTTGCACAATCACACATGCTTCTACCGCACCTCGTGTCTCTTCCACACACACAAACTATCCCCGAGCCCCCCTTCCTGTCTTTCCTCCCTTTTCCTAAACACAGACGAGTCCCGGAGCCCAGCCGAGGTCTAGACACACATAACCTCAGGAAGTCAGTGGTGGGATTCCTGTCTTCTCCTCCAGCCAGTGAGCAAGCCAGGATTCAGACAGGTAAAGGCATCTCGGATTCCAGTGCTCACAGAATCCATCTCTCCAGCTCTCTCTACCTTCACTGCAGATATGCGCTCTCTGGCTGACTCTCTCTAATGGATACAGAACTGTACATATTTGCAGGGCACAGTGTGACATTTGAATACATGAATGTAACACATAATGACTGTGGTAACTGACAGGTTTAGCACCTGAAACATTTACCATTAATTACTGAAAACCCTCTCTGTTAGCTATTTTGAAATACTCATTGAGTTAGCAACCCAATTATGCAGTAAGTTCTTCCTACTCTGCTAGCACCCTTGACCCAGTAACTCTCCGCTTTCCATCCCCTCCTCTTTGTTTTCAGCCACTGGAAAACACTATGCTATTCTCACTGTAAGATCAATTTTAAGCTGGGCATCGTGGCACACACCTGTAATCCTAGCTACTACCCAAAGCCCTATTCAGTCCTCAGTAATACCCCCCCCACACACATGCATGCACCTGAGCACACATACAATCAGCTTTAGTTTTTTGCATGCAAGTGTGAACCACTGTCCTTTGACTCTGTCCAATAGCCAGAGAATTGCTCTCCGCAGCCATCATCACCTAAGGGCCCAGGCTCACGTCCACTGCACATCTCTGAGCCTGCCAGGATGGTCTCTTGATCACCTGTTCCCCAGATCTCTCCTCCCTCTTCTTCCACACCCCCAGACATGAAGCACCTCACCCATCCTACTCTCTCCTCTATTCTTTCTCTTCTTCCTGCTCTTCCCCGCCCACCTCATAAAGCAAAGATTCCAGGCCCTACAAGTCACAGACGACCAAGGCCCTGCTCATCCCACTGCTGCCCTGGCCCCTGCCTCAGCAGCCTGGGGAGGGGGTATGACCTCACCCAATTCTCTCCTGCTCCATCTCTTCCATCTTCTCTGCCCGAGCAATGACTCTGTTGATGATTTCCTTCTCCTCATCAGTCAGCTCTTCTTGCTTCCTCTGTCTGTCTGTCTGGGCACCGGGGTGGACGGACCAGCCTGCCTGTAGCCTACGAGGTAATAGTACAGTATGAGGCAGGACAGGAAGCCCAGGGAACGGTGCCCAAGACAGGGAAATCTGAGACCCAAGAGCCTGGAAAGATACAATGGCTGGGAGACCTGGTCAAAGGGATCGAGTCTCCAAGCCTCGGTTTTCCCATCTGTCCAATGGGTGCACACCCTTCCCCCATCCTCTTCCCATGGGCTTATTTTGTACAGGCAGATACTCCACACTGCCATCTACAGGAAACTCTGGAGCCTCAGGAAGATTCTAGAACAGGAGAACCCTCAAGCCAGAGGGGAAGCAATTCTGCCATGTTGCCATTTGCAGAAGATAGGGGTGTTTTCTTGCTCTTGAGGAAAGACCCCTAAATTCCTGAAGTTTTCAGGCCCCACAAAGACACACTGGCCTCTCAGAGGTGAGCTGGGAGAGTTGAGGAAGGGAGGTGGAGAGGCTGGGGCTTGCAGGGGAAAGATCCTGACAAACACCTGGAGCAGAGGGCACAGGCAACATGTATGACAAAGGAAGGAAAGCCAGCATGGCTGCCCCAGCATCACGCTCGCCCTCATGTGTGGCCTGCAGGCTGACTCTGGGCCAGCTCTGTGTGGCCCACTAAAGACAGCAGAGGTGGCTCTGAGGATCACTGACTGCAGGGGAGGCTGACCTTAGCACCCATGGGGGAGGGAATTCACAGTGTCTGGCCTAAGCCACTAGGCTTGAAGTGATGATTTTGCTACAGCCTTGGGTCCCTGGGAAACCATCCCACTTGGAAGGTAGAGAAAGGCTGACATGGAGCTTCATCTTCAGAGTCTGTATGCAAATTTCTCATTGTCAATGACAAGGTAGAGGAATTAGATCAAAGAGACAGTCAAGGTACTAGGAAAACAAAAGTGGTACACATAAAACCTCTGGGACATCATCAAGAGACCAAACCTACAAATTATGGGTAGAGAGGAAGGAGAAGAGATATAAGGTAAAGGCATAGAAAAAAAACATACTCAAGGAAATATTAGCAGAAAACTCCCCAAACCTTGGAAAGAAAGGGTCATCCAGGCATAAAAGGCTTTGAGAACGCCAGGCATGCAAAGATCAGGAAAGAAATAGCCCTATGCATACCATAATGAAAACACTAAATATACAGAGAGAAAACTATGCAGAAGTAGAAAGAAAGAATATGGAAAGCTATGAGAAACAATAAAGCCAAACTCATCAAAACAACAGCAGATTTTTCAACAGAAACTTGACAAGCAAGGAGGTCATTCCAAGCCCTGAAAGAAAATGACTGTCAGACATGCCAAGAAATAGAAATGAGTTTTTAAAATTGTTATTATTTCGCTTTTGTTTTCTCCTTTGTCCTGTTTTTTACTTCTGTACCTTTTGTCTTGTATGTAAGTTTGTCTGTTGTCTGGAGGTTAAGGGGGAGCACAGAAATGGTGAGGCAAAAGGTGAACAAATGGAGCAGTGATACGCGCCACATACTATGTTGAAAATGAACTGTACAACTTGTGGAGGAGGGGAAAAACTGGGAGAAACTGAGGGAACAATGGCACTGTTCAAAAAGAAATACATTCAGGGGACAATGGGGAGGGAAGGGATAGTGGGGAGAAAAAAAAGCAATGGAGTAGGTAACAATGTTTGACAAGAAATGTATTCATTGCCTTACTCTGTAACTATAACCCCTCTGTACGGCGTCTTTACAATAAAATTTAAAAAGAGAAATGTACTCATTACCTGACTTACGTAACTGCAACCTTTTGTATGTCACCTTTACAATAAAAATAGATAAATAAATTAAAAAGAAAATAAATGCCAGCCTGGACTAATGCATTCTGTCAAGCCATCATTCATCATTCAGAAAATAAAACCACCTGTGATTTAAAACACACACACACACACACACACACACACACACACACACCCCTAAAGGAATCCATTACTGCTAACCAGTATGACAGAAGACATATAGAGGAATTCTATACACTGAAGAAGAAGGCAAACACAAACAGGAAATATAGGAAAGAACAAATCCCACTAGTGGAGTACATTGGCAAATGTGAATTAGAAAAGCAAAGATCTCCTGAAATACTACAAACCTTCCAAATGAACACTGGATGTTAATAGTTTTGATTATTCAATCAAGACACAAAGAAGGTAGGCTGGATCAAAAGGCAAGATGCCTACAAATCCATCTCAATGACAAGCCCAAAATTAGCAGGTGGAGCGAAATAACAAAGATGGGCCTAGAAATTAATGAAATGGAGGCTATGAATATTACAAAGCATCAATGAAACAACAATAAATAAGATGTATAAGCTCTTAGCCAAACTGACTAGAAAGGGTTGTGGGGGGGAAGACTCAAATTAATAAAATTAGAGATGAAAATGGGGCTAGCACAACAAATATCACTGACATCCAGAGGCTCACTAGAGAATACTGTGAACATTGTATTAATGTAAACTGGAAACTCTGTAAGAAGTGGATACATAGCTAGATTCATTTGGCCTGGCAAAAGCCATCCAAGAGGATTTAGACCCTGAGTATGTTTACAAAGTATCCATCATACCTTCCTTCTTCCGCTCCCCACTTCCGTTCCTGGCTTGTACTCTGAACCCCCTCCACACATTTCCTGCATTTTCAGAGCAGCTCCAGGCCCTCATGGAGCCCAGGGCGGTCCTAGCCTGGGGCCCCACACAGGCCCTCAGAACACACAATCCGGCAGTTCAATGTCTGCTCATGGTCACTGTCGGCTCTAGACACATGAGCTGGGGTGGCTACAGGGTCTCCATCTGCAGAAGAGAGTGGAGTGGGAGGTGGGGGAGACTGTGCCCCCTTTTGGTCCTCCCCCCACCCCAGCTACTCCACATCCCACCGCCACCGACCAATAGTTCCTTCGGTGTTTGTCAGTGTCCTGCTTGGTGCCCCTGGGAGTCGGCGAACCTCCTGTGGATTTCCATGTTTTGATTCAAATAGGGAAATGCAATGGATTCTCAACCCTAAGCCTGTGCTCTCAAGAGGAGGAGGGGGGCTGGGGCTGTGAGTCAACGTGGGCATGGGAGGCCTTGGGATAAGACAGTGCTCCCATCCTGGCACAGGATGGCAGCCAGGGTCCAGTGGTGGAGCTTAATAAGAAATGCTGCAGACAGAAATGCTGCTCACCTGGAACAAGTTCCTCAGAGATAGGCAGAGGCCCCCCTGTGACACCAGGGGTGGGGGGCCTCCCGTGAGCCAGACTGAACCCCCGTGACTTGGGGCAGATCAGGTCTGGAGCCCCGAGCTCTGGTCTCGGTGGCTTTATTTCTTTTTTTTTGTTTTGTTTTGTTTTGTCAGTCGTGGGGCTTGAACTCTGGGCCTGGGCGCTGTCCCTCAGCTCTTCAGCTCAAGGCGAGCGCTCTACCACTTGA